TAGGCTTGCAGGTGCAGGTGCTGTCCGGGATGAATGACGAGATCCAGCCAGGGATTTCAAAACATAGCAGCAGAGTGATTCCTGTGGGTAAGCAGTGCAGTGAGGAGGGGTTTTCTCACACTGTCCTATCACGTCTGCATTTGACCTTTGTTTATTTCTCTTTCCGATCTCTTGGTGGAGATTTAACAGCTGCCAGGGGTTGTCCTCAGGAACATCAGTCTGAGGAGGCTTGCTGCCATCACGATGTTTTTCTCTTTCTGTTGCTCAAAGTCCCTCTGTCCCCCTCCTCGGTGCAGGTGAAATTGGTCTCTGGTCGCTGGTGGTCCTGGCTATTGAAAGATACGTAGTGGTCTGCAAGCCCATGAGCAACTTCCGCTTCGGGGAGAACCATGCCATCATGGGCGTTGCCTTCTCCTGGATCATGGCCTTGGCGTGCGCGGCTCCCCCGCTCTTCGGCTGGTCCAGGTAGGGAGGGCACCAGGCCCAGCGTGGGGGGCATGGGAGCCTGGCTGGCGGCTTGGCTGTGTCTTCCAGCTGATCTCCTCTGCTGGGCACTGACCTGCTGGGCTCACCTTGCAGGTACATCCCCGAGGGCATGCAGTGTTCGTGTGGGATCGACTATTACACTCTGAAGCCAGAGGTCAACAATGAATCTTTCGTCATCTACATGTTTGTGGTTCACTTCATGATCCCGTTGGCAATCATTTTCTTCTGCTATGGGAACCTGGTTTGCACTGTCAAGGAGGTGGGTACCTGCCAGTGACGGTGGGCCAAGGGCCATCTTACTGGGAAGGGGCCCACACCAGGTTCCAGACTGGTGATAGGGAGGGCCAGGCTGGCCAGGCTGGCCCTCTATGAAGAGGGAAAGAGCAAATTCCAGATGTGCAGCTTGATTTCTGTGAGCCTTGACCCCACGTCCCTGAGTTCACTCACTGGCTCCATCATGTTTCCATTCCCTTCTGCCCTCAGGCTGCTGCCCAGCAGCAGGAGTCTGCCACCACCCAGAAGGCAGAGAAAGAAGTGACCCGCATGGTCATCATCATGGTCATCTCCTTCCTGATATGCTGGGTCCCCTATGCCAGTGTGGCATTCTACATCTTCACCAACCAGGGATCAGACTTTGGGCCCATCTTCATGACCATCCCGGCGTTCTTCGCCAAGAGCTCCGCCATCTACAACCCTGTCATCTACATCGTAATGAACAAACAGGTAAGTGGCAGGGGGTGAGACAACTACTTTTTTGTGTTTCACTTTATAACAGCTGGCAGAGAGTTATGGCGTCTCAAGCTGCCAGTGGGCTGGAGTGGGAGTTGTTTCCAGGTGATCTCATCCTGGCACATGGGAGGGTGACTGTGCAGCTCAGCCTTGGCATTGCATAAATCTCACAAATGCAAGGCCATTCAGCCTAAAATGATGCGGGTGCTGGGTTGATGGAGGAGCTGGGGCTTCAGTGAGCAGGGCTGGCAGTAGTCAGTGGGGCAGGAGACTCCACTGGCATGGTGCCTCCTGCGCTGTGGTGCTGGGGGCTTCCAAGCAGCTCTGCTTGGAACAGAGCTGCCTCGTGTCCGCCTGCCTCACACCGGGCTTCCCTCTCTCCCAGTTCCGTAACTGCATGATCACTACCCTCTGCTGTGGCAAGAACCCACTGGGAGATGACGACACGTCTGCTGGCAAGACAGACACCTCCTCTGTCTCCACCAGCCAGGTCTCTCCTGCCTAGGCCCCACCTGGGCCAGTCCCTGGGGTGTGCATCGCCACCCCAGAGCATGAACTTAGTCCCACCGCCGCCACCACCACCTGCCCCTGCTTTGCCACGGCCGAGGCCCTGTGGGGCGGGCTACTCTCTCCTGGCACTAGGAACCCTGGGAACAAGGCTGAAAATGTGTACACACGTTTTGTAATTAAAATGCAAAGGCTTAGCTCCTCTGGCGTATATCCGTGAGTTTCTGTTGACTTGCTGAGAGCTCATGCCCCTGCCACGAGTGCAGATCCTGGGTCGGACAGCCCTGCCATGCCTGGACTGTGGCAGAGCTGCCCTCACCTCTCTCTCCCCACCTTGACACCCTGGCCAGGGCACGTCCTTCCTCTGCTGCTGCCAGGGCTGGAGCTGGGGCCACCTCCCGTCTCTGCCGCTGGAGATGGATCCCAGCCAGTGCCACGCAGCTGCTCGGCCCTGCCATGCTCCAGCTGCCTGGAGCAGGTTTGGCTGCGTCAAGGTGTCCCTGGCCCTGCCAGGTGCTCCCAAATCCAGCCCTGCCCCACCTCCAGCCTGTCAGAAGTGCCTGGGGGCACTGCATCCCCTCTAGGGGGACAGGACAGATACAGGTGCACATGGGCCCTTCTGTGCTGCAAGGGTGAAGGCCGTGGATCCTGCCCAGCAGGCAGACAGCACGGAGGGCCCTGCCAGCCCAGCCCAGCCCAGCACAGCCCAGCCCAGCCCAGCCCAGCCCAGCCCAGCACAGTACAGCCCAGCCCAGCACAGCCCAGCCCAGCACAGCCCAGCCCAGCACAGCCCAGCACAGCCCAGCACAGCACAGCACAGCCCAGCACAGCACAGCCCAGCACAGCACAGCACAGCACAGCCACGTGCAGCCGCAGTGCTCAGAGGTGGCTCTGTGCTCACTCCTGCAGCACTGGCAAAGCAGCACGTGGACAGTTTGTACCCTCAGCAGCAGCCCCACTCCATATCCCCCAGCAATCTTTCTCACAGTCCCACCCGTCATCTTTAGGCATCTTTGGACCCCCAGGGCCAAGCTCCCAACACGCTCCCCCGCACCCCTCCCTGTTTGGGCTGCGGTCAGTTTGGCCTCAGCCCAAGAGGAGGTTTTGGGCAGCTCTTGTGCTGTTGAGGCTCGCTGGGCTCAGGGCTGAGCTCCCCCACGCCGCAGCAGGCGGGACGCGGCAGCATATGGCTCAGCGACATCGACATATGTTCGAAGCACTGCAAGATGGCATATTGCAATTGTAGCACTGTTCTTCATTTTTATTTTTAGCTCAGTTATACAAATAAGATGTTTTTCTCCCTGTTCAGTGTTATCAACATTTGAAACTATTTTTGTACATTATTATCCTCTCTGATTTCTAATCCTATGCAGCTTTGCAAGGACTAATAGGGAACATATAGAGCCCATGCAAGTTAAACCCTTAATAAAGAGCAATTTGCAAGTACAATTCTCTCATTATTTTTTTTTATCAATACTTCTGCATATTCAGTGAAATCTAAGGATTAGAGTTTTATGAATAATTCAGTGTTTAGGCTGATGTCTGATTCATGTACTTCAAATCTGGGAGGTGGTTTTGGAGCAAAGAGGAAGAAGAATTTGGTGTTTATTTGATGTCCATGGGGCTGTGCTCCACAGGAGTGTGGCAATGCCTGGCACTGCAGCTCACCTACCCGTGCAGGACCAGCCCCAGCACACAGCCTGGCCCCAGCACAGCCTGCAGGCTGTCACTCCTCACCATACCCAGCCCTACAGCTACTGCTGGTGGTGCTAGCAGCAAGCAAGGGTTTGGGACCCCCCTGCCAGTTCAGCTGGGTACCAGAGGCATCACAGAGCTGCCAGAGAGGTGATGGATGGATCTAGGCGGCCCTGCCGCCCTCCGGTGTCCCCACTGTCTGCTTCCTGGGGAATTTGGATATGGACTGGAAATGGAGCAGGGAACAGGCTGGTGGTGCTGGTCTGGGGGGGATTGGGCATGTGGTGCTCCAGCCATTCGGTCTCACTCACAGCTGCCAGACCTGGCTCCTGCTGCCACCTTAGCCAGGATCTGGCCCTCAGGCTCAAGTGGTGGGCACAGACCTTGATGAAAGTCTCTGTGGGCAGCAGTTTGCAGGTCCATTACCATGGTGACAGGTTTGCTGAGGTGGCCATGAGCCAGCCCTGCCATAGTATAATCCTGGCTCGCAGCTTCCTCATCTTTCGGACAGATAACGCACATGAAAGCCCCGTGAGTCTCCTGTGTAAAGAGGGAAGGATTGATGGGGCACTGGGGAGGAACACAGCAGTCCCCAAGGTGGGGACATCTGTGCTGTTCCTGCACCAAAGAACTGCCAGTGATTTCCTTAGGCTCACCTTGTCAGCACAGGCAGCAGCAGAGAGGGGGACATGGAGGGAACATAGCTGTCCATGTCCAGGGCTAGGAGTGCTCTCCCTGAGCATGGTGGGATTCAGTGCATGGGGTGAGTGGTCATCCTGCTTATGAACATGCTCACGGAGATAGTGGGGGGGAGTCACTTCTCCTGCCTTTTTGCTGACTAACCAAGCAGCTCTTCATTTTCCTCCTCTCCTTTGTGGGATTGTTTTTTCACCCCATTATCAGACCTCTGCTTCTGAGTGAGGCAAAGGAAGATAGTACATCTCACCAGCACACTGGGAACAGGTTTGTGTGGGCCCCATGCTGCAAGCTGGCTCCCCATGCACCCCAACACCCACCCAGCAGTGGATGGGTGCCTTTCCCCTGCCTCTTCAGGGCAATCATTCCACAAACTCCCAGTCCCTCATCCTTCTCCAAACTCACTGCTCAGGTCTGCCCTTTCTCCCTCCAGCCCCTCACAAAGCGCTGGCAAAGGGCACTTGACTTCCCAGCCCCCAGCTCCCACCTGGGTTGGAGACCAGACCAATTAGAAGCTGCCAACCAGCTGCCATTCAGGCTGCTCATGAGATAAATTGCAGGGAGGCGATCTGGGCCTAAAGAGCAGCAGTCAGTGGTGCTGTTGGTGGAGTTGTGGCTGCCCGTGGGCTGGTGTGTTCTGCTATGGAGCCTCAGATGGGTAAGGGGTCTGCAAGTGCTACAGGGTCTTGCAGAGCTGGGTCTCTGGGGAGTCTCAGCTGTGGCTCTAGGGCTCGCTTTGGCTTCTGGTGGGGCTGGGGCTTGGTTTGAGCTGTAGGGGCCGCAGTCCCTGTGAGGCTGCAGGGATGAGCAGGGTTATGGCTGCTCAGCTTCCGGGGGCTTTGCAGCCCTTGGGGTGTGAGTGTCTCGGGGCTGGGCCTCAGGCTCAAATGGTGTCTCTTCCAGCAGCTGAAGCTGCTGGTGAAGCCCAACTTCCAGGTCCACCGGTCCTGGACCGTGTGGCCCGACGCCCTTCAACCCTGCAGATGGTCAAAGAGGCACTGCAGGCCCAGGATGAGAAGAAGGGTGCTTCTGTCTTCACTATCAAGCAATTCATCCTGGCCAAGTACCCCACCGAGGATCCTGTCCGGCTCAAGTACCTGCTGAAGCAGGCACTGAGCAAGGGGCTGAGCCGTGGGGAGCTGGTGCGGCCCCGCAACTCCTCTGCTGTGGGGGCCACCGGCACCTTCATGGTGAGCAGGGGCTGCCAGGGTGGCTGGGGGCTGAGGAGCTGCCTGGGCCCACTGACACCCTGCTCTCACCCCCAGTTAGCACCCAAGGACCTGCAGCACAAGCAGCATCCAGGCCAGGCAATTCTTGAGAGAGGACGGGCCCTGAAGCCAGGACAGAAAGGAGGGACCACCAAGGACCCCTGTGCCCCTGTGGCTGGTGCACAACAACGAGGTAAAGGGCTTCTAGGGCATGAGTCACCCTGTGCTGCCTGGCCCCACCAGGACTCATCCACCACCCTGTCTGCAGGTACCGCAAAGCAGCAGCTGACAGCCACGAAGCAGAAGCCAAAAGCAAAGCCCACGAATGTGAGTAGGTGACGGCAGTGGGGCTGGGTGGCTCGTGGCACGGCAGCACCCTGAGATGCTCTGTTCCCTTCCCTCCAGGCCCAGCCACAAGCTGCAGTGAAGCCCGGGAGCGATGGAGCAAAGCCTCGGCGAGCTGACCACCATCCCCAGGCCCCCGGCACGGGGTCTTCAGGGCCCTTGAGAGCTGCCACCTGCTCCCGGGCCCCTGGCACAGGGTGTTTAAGGCCCCCACGAGCTGCTGACCACCCCCAGGCACTTGGCAAAGGACGCTCAAGGCCCGGTGGGGCTGTGGCTGCTGAGGATGCAGGAAGGAGCAAAAGCAACAGCTGTGCAGGGGTAAAGGGGCCCCAAAAAGTCCCTGGGGGAAAGAGCAAGGGGAAGGTTCCCAAGGGAGCACAGCAGGAGGCCCCCAAGGCACAGAAGGGTCAAAGCCAGGCGAAGAAGCCCCGGGTGACCCCAGGAGCTACGCAGGGGGAAGCCAGGCTGCAGAAGGCAGCCCCCTCTGGAGAGGGCAGAACGGCTCTGTAGGGGGGCTCGGACAGTCCCACTTAGCCCTGCTTCACTGGCCCCAGGTCCTTGGGGTCTGGGCTGTTTTTAGTCCCTAGGACAGATTTTAACTCTGTTTACCTTTTTCTAATAAAGCTTATTTACTCACCTCATGGAATGGCCTGACTGCTGCCCTGGTTGTGGGTCCCTGTGCTCCCATTTTCCATGGCCTCATCCTGCATGGCATGGTAGTGAGTTGATACTGCAGACAGCTGCCTCTCTGCCTGCCCTCATGGAGAGGTGCCCTGTCTGCCCTGTGTCCCCAGTTGTGGTGCCAGGGGTATGCTGGGCTTTGGGGACTGTGTGTTTGTGCAGGCTGGCACTGATGGCCTGGGCAGGGGCCCTGGGACCCATGGAACACAGCATGCTGGCACCCCCAGGAATGAAGCTCAAGCTTGGCCAGTCTTGCTGGTGTGGACTGTGTAAGGTGTCGAGCCCTCTGCCCTCTTGGCTGCCCTTGTGCTGATGCCTGGCTGAGCTGGGATTACGAGAGTGCCAGGGTGGCAGGTCTGGGTGCACACCTTGGTCCCCAGCACCGGGGGTAGCTGCGTGTGCTCTAACTATAGTAAGATAGAGGTGTTTTAGGGCTCAATAAATGAGTTTGAGGTGCTTGCTGCAGCCCACAGCATAGTTTGTGCTCTTGTTACCTGTTTGTGGCACAGTTCCCACACACAAACCTGTCTTGTGAGCTCCTGTGGGTCATATGACACTTTCCTTTAATAGATTCAAATGCCTGAATTTCTCTTGCTCTGCCCAGAGCAGAGCCCTTCTGAAGGTCAGGTTGATCATGTAAAGGGTTACAGTCCTCCTGGGTGGGAGAAAATAAGTGGAAGTAAAACTCTTCCTAAAGAGGATTTCACTAATCTGCAGCTGGCCTTGCCAATGCCCTCCAAGGCTCCTGGCCTTGCTCTGGAGCTTAAGCAAGAGCTGAGCAAACTAACTTCTCTTTAAACTTCAGCCTTGACTATGTTGATCCATCTTTAATGGAGCTGGAACTTGTGTCCCTCCAGGGACGGGCGGGAATATGGCAGCAGTAACTGGGCTGAGTTCACTGGATTCACTGATAGTAGTGGCCTCACAGAGCCCCACTCGCCCATGTGGCAATGTCCCAGCTGAGCAGGGAAGGGGCTGTGTCCTCCCTCCTCACCAGCTGCAGTGTGAAATGCGCAGCTCTCTTGCTTTGAGAGGCCAAATCATTTAATGACTGGATTTAGCTTTACTAAGAAACAACTTCCTAGCAGGAGAAGAAAATCCCTCCAGTGTCTGGAAAGTGCAGCTTTTACTGGGGGAGATGGAAGAGCATGGATTTAGCAATGCCATGCTTATTAAGGCCCCTGGGCTGTAGCTGGTGTCAGGGTGCTGAAGCTGCAGCCTCTTGTGACACTGCAGGGAGGTGCTGGCTCCCCAGGGCTGGAGGGGGGCACTGTGCCATGGGCCGGGCACCTGGAAGAGGTAAGGGTGCCCAGTCCCAGCTGCTGCTGTGGGGTTACTGGTCTTCACGTGCACAGCACAGTGTGGGTCAGTTCGGGTGCCAGTCGTCTGCTCCCGTGCCTGTTCCAGTGGGAGCCATGGCTGTGGCAGTGTGCGTGGCCACAGCGAGCTCTGCAGCTCGCAGAGGTACAAAGCTGTCTCCTGAAGAAACAAGGGAGTTCTCACTGACCTGCTGACCCTGCCCATGGTGTGTCTCGTACATGCAAGGCTCGTCTGTGCAGGTGTCTTCCATGGGTGTATTCTGCATGCACAGGGGCAGGAACTGCACTCCACAGGTTCAGCACCTTGTTTTATTACAAAGATAGGCTTTGCCAGGAGTCTGCCACTTCCACTACACAGCAGGTAAGGGCACTACATCCACAACACGTGCCGAAGTTGAAAAACATGTTACAAAGGGCTCGGGGGTTCAAGGCAATACAACACTACAAACCCTCGAGCTTTTGCTCTGCTAAAGTTGTTCCTTTACATGGTTGTAGCAAATATTTCTTTTTTTTTTCCTTTTCTTTTTTTTTCCTTTTTTTTTGCTTTGATAAAAATTAAATAATAAAGCAATAGTCTCAATACACAGCCCAGTCACAACACCTGGAGGCAAACTCTGCTTGCTCTTGACTCACTTGTATCCTTTCCCTTTAACAAACAACATGGGGCTATAGCTCCATCACCTTTTCCCTGCCTCCAACCAAGCTCAACATTCTCTGCTACCTTGCTCCTTCTTGCCCTTGCCTTCCCTGCACTGGGCCTGCCTAAATCTCTGGCAGCTATTCACAGTTTCTAACAGAAAAAAAATTCAAAATAAAATGTAGCCCAGCTACATTCTTAAGAGTTTATATTCTGAAGCCACATCCTCAGTAAAGACATTGAGACCTCCACAGTGTAAGTACTTTTTCTGTAGTTCTCTTTAAAAAAACCCCTCTGTTCTTCCCCTTTCCCTTCCCTCCCTTACCCCCTTTTAACGTACTGGATAAAGTCTATCATTTGTTTTAAAATAGATATCTATGTACACATACACGACTCTGATATTCCGGTTTCTGACAAATGTGGCATTACTGGAAACAGTGGAATGGAGGCCACCTGTCCATGGCAGAGAGTCACCCAGGAGGACTTTTGGTGAACAGTTATCTAATACCAGGCTGCATCATTGTCAGTTGGATGACTAACAAAGGCTCCCCTGACACCCTCCTGCAGTGAGGTAGTAACTTTTTTCTTTGTTTCTTTCCTATTTGGCAGTCTGAAGCATGGCATCCGCAGTGGGTCAGCCCTGTGGGCAGGAGCCTTTGCCCATGCAGGAATGCTGGCTTCGAGCCCATGGCGCTGGCTGTGTCCAGCCTCTTCAGAGGGGCCTGTGTGACACCGGAGACCAGAGCGGTCACAGCTCCCCAGGCTGCAGGAAGGAGAAGGGGCCACCAAGCTGGGATGGGGGATTGCCCCAGTGCAAGTGCCACAGTGCAGCACTGGGGTTTCTGGTCTCGCATGAGGTCCATTTGTCTGCCAGTGGGACCCTCCCACTGACCCCGGCCTAGGCCTTGAACACTCTCTCCCTTAGTCTGCAGCTCGGGACACTGGAAGTGCTCTGCTGGCCTGCATCGGTGCTGGGCTGCCAGGACTTGGGTCCAGTCCCTCTGCCTTTAAAGTCTGAAAACAGGCTGGCCATGCAGCCAAGCCCCCCTCTCTTGGCTGCTCTTAGGTATCAGATATGGGGGCTGGGCCTGAAGCACGCAGAACAAGCTGCTTTGGGAGACACCTCTGCAGCACCGACCTTGTGTTCGGTGATGGCCGTGGGGAGAGGCAGAAAAAGAGAGAATGCTACCTGGTGTTTGCCCTGTGTGGCTCGAGGCCATTGCCACAGGGCTCTCAGCAGGACCTGGCCCTGTTGGCATGAAAGGCATTACTGGGGCCAAGGTGGGGCAGTGCCACAGACACAGGTTGAGCCAGTGCAGCGAGGCTGGGAGCAAGGGGCACTGTCTTTCCCTCACCCTCTGTCTGCATCTGGTCTAGACAGGACCATGCCTGCGGCCAGCCGGCTGGGCAGTGGGATATTTGCCTACCCACTGCACCTCCAGCTTGCTGTGCATGAGAGACAAGAACCCAGGGAAGGGGGAACAGCCCTTCCCACACTGTCTTACACGGACTGCACTCCCTCTGGCACCCAAACAGCTGTCTCTGTTAAGGATAAAGTGCTTTCACCACGCCTTAGCTGCTTGGGAAGCAATTGCTTTGTCTCAGCCCCAAGTTCCCCATGTTGCCCAAGTCTCAGATGGAGGGGCAGTTATGTTTACACATACAGTACAAAAATCAAAAGGCACAAAAATACACAGAATGCAGCAGATAGTGAACAGCTGATAAGAGTCCCTGGTGTTCAAAAAACAAGGATGTAGGAGGGATGGAGTGGAAGGGAACTCAGGCGTTGCTCTGATGGCCTATGCTGTCTCTACTCATTACTTCCCGAGGTGACCCTTCTGCTTTGTGTCTGTTGTTCCAGCCTCTGCAGCCCCATCCCTTGTCCTGAGGAGCCACACACAGGGATGCAGGGAGCACTGACTGCTCGGGCGCTGACCAGAGGGAAGTGGTGAACTGAGCTTGCCCCAAGTGTTACACCTCCATTTCTGGCTGGCAACAGCAAATAAATTATGGGTGCCACAGTGCATACCAGAGGAGTTTGAGCTGCTCTGAAAGATGTCTTGTGGCTTCTTGTGATGTGAGGAAGGCCTTCGGCCATGGTCAGGCCCACCCCCACCACAAGGCTGGTTTGAGGATGACCACGGTGTGCCTGAGGCTGAAGGCAGGTCCCCTGTGGCACTGTGCTGCGAGAAAGGTCACTTCCAGGGCTGCAGCCGGCCTAGGCTTCGCTGCAGCACTCGTAGATGTTATCCTCCATCAGCGCAATCACTTGTTCGAATTTGTGCTGGAGCTGCGTGCGCTTCGTTGTGGGGTTGGCATCCAGGGCAGCCACGATCTGTGGGTGACACGGGCAGGTGGGTGGATAAGGCAGTGTAGGGGTGCCCACCTGCCAGCCCAGTTCCCGCCACCAGCCCTCTGGAGCCCAAATCCCAGCCACAGCTGGAAAGCCCACCCTGCCCTACAGCCCCTGCACAGCTGCTGTCTTAGGGCACAGCTGGGTCCTTGGTCAGGGTTGGAAGAGGAAATGCTCTGCAATAATAGAGCTGAGGGCACAGCGCCAGCCTGCGGGGTGCAGGGGCCAGCCAGGGCCACTGCCTTGGTGGGGGCGGAGGGTGCAAGTTACTTTGGGGATGGGAGGACTGTATCTGCATGTTCTGCTCTCTTGAAAGCACCTACACATCAGACAGCCCCGCTTGTCTGGCCCAGTCAAACGCCACTAAGATCTGCTGTGAATAGGTGGCCTTCTCTTCCAAGAAGTTACCAGCCAAGGGACGTAGAGTAGGTGCATCTGCATGTGCACCTACTACATATGTGCTGGGATTATGCAAACCCTGATAACTCCTGTTCTGTGGGAACAGGTGCAAATGTCTGACTGTGGGGTTACCATAGCTCTGGTTCCTCCCTCCAGGGCATGCTGGGGCCCGAGTGCCCTGAAATCCACTCACCTGTGAGCGGTATCTCTTGGCATATTTGTATATCTCGGCCATGGCCACGTTGGTGTTGAACTCATTCCGGTATTTCTTTATAAAGACAGAAAAAAGAGGGGATAATATTAACAGGATGCAGCAGGTGAGTTTCAGACCAGCCAGCCTGCACCAACTACATTAAAAGCAGGTTTTGCCTGGGTAATTTTATTACTGTTGCATTCATGCAGCCAGATTCTTGCCTTTTTCCTTTAACCAGGGTGCATTTGCTTACATCAGGACAGGTCTCCATCTTTTAAAAGCCAGCCTTAAATAGATGCTCTGGGTAGCACTGCTTACCCCTCCAGGCCCAAAGCCATTTCACAGGAGGGCAGCACATCAGCTGGGCTGCAGAATGTCGACAGAAAAATCCTGCTCAGTGCCTAAAGCTAGAACATCTAGGGAGAAAGTCTGATTTTGAGGAATCCGCAGTGCATCACTGGCAGAACTCTGATCCAGAGGGTGATTGCCAGCTTCTGTGGCTGGTACCAGGGCTGGCTGCCAGCAGCTGCCTGGGACTTGGGGCTGGCCCTGGCAGTTGCACCCAGGGGCCAGCTGGCCGGGGGGGCTGCAGCACTGCAGAGAGCCTTGTCCAAACTTCCTGAATTTTTGGCACTGAATTTCACGCTCAGCTCCCAGTGGTGCCAGAGTTAGTTAGGCTCAAGTGAACTCGTGGGTGTTTACTGCAGCTCTGGCAGTAATTGAAGATGCTTGGAATTAGGTCAGATGAAGTTTATATGTGGAAGTTTGAGGCAAAATATTCTTTCTCGTGTGCTCCTTCTAGCATCCAAGCAGTAGCTGAGTGCAGCCTATCTGCATTCCCTGATGCTCCGAGGTGACAGTAGGACACCAAGCCTGGAGACCCAATCCCATCCCCTCCCTCCGCTTACCCGCGACTCCTCTGCGAGGTGGGCGTTCATCTCCTGCTCACTCAACGGGGACATGTCGTGGATTTGCTTGTAGTATCGCTGCACTATCTTCCTGTACTCGGGGATCTCCTTGGCATACAGCAGTTTGTTGGTCGGGGAGTCCTAGAGCGAGGGTGAAAGACTAAAATGAAGCCCCGTGTTGTTCCTGGCTGAAAACTTTGTCCTGCTGCTTGACCAAAGAGCTGACCGTCCATCAGGTAGGGACCTCAGCTACTGCTAGGTACGGGTTCTGCCTTTAGTCCTGGCTGTCACCAGGCAGGACTGTGGGGGAATGGCACCAACGCACCGAACACATGGCCTCAGATACATCAAGGATCTGCAGATGGGCACCATGTGCCTGCAGAGCTAGAGCACTGTCTCGCTGCCCTTCATCCTAGCACGAACTGAACATCTGTCAGCTCAATGCCAGAGAAGGGGGTTGGTGGGGATGTGTTCTAAGTTGCAGTAAGAGCAGACTAAAAGCATGCCCAGGGTCAGGGTGGTTTGCTGACAGGTGATACTCTGCAGGTGAGGTAGCAGCCCTGCTCCAGAGCAAACACTTGTGCTCCATGGCACACAGTGTGTTGAAACTAGCAACAAGGAAAGGGCTTCTGCATGCAGTTGCTGGGGTCTCTTGAGCAGCCAGCCTGATTTAAACCAAAGAACAAAGCTATCTTACAAGCTGAACTTTGTCAGTTGAAATGTTGCTCTTGGATTTTTCATGTAGCTTTGATTTATTCTGCATTGGCTAACCCAGCCTGCCTGGCCTAAATTGAGTGCACGTAATGTAATTAACAGAGAATACTGAATAGTCTTGATTAATGTCAGCTTGGACACAGCAGCCTTAACCTCCCAGCCACACGACTGGGTTGTACCAGTGGAGGCGCAACCCTGCTGCTCTCCTTGCAAAAATAGTGTGAATGATTTTAACCTCAAGGCAATCCTGCCCTGCTGATATCATTACCCTGGGAATGAACTTGACTGACTGGCCTAGTGTTGGATCCCCAAGGGGAAGTGCCTCAGACATTGAGGGACGCAAGATCAGCGTGTCCTGCCACTCTGACACCGGTGTGTGGGGCTGCTCTCCAGTTGGAGAGGGGACCTGCCGAGGAGATGGTGCGGGGGGTTGCAGGCAGCATCCTTGGCTGTGGCAGGCAGGAATAGGGGAGCCCGGGGTGACTGCAATCTGCTGCTGCAATCTGTAGCATGGCTAATGCTGTGAGAGAAATGGGAAATGGGCACCAGGCTGTGGCACCAGATCCCACAGCAGTTTATTTTCAAACCCAGTGACAAGGCATTACGGGAACATGGCCAACTCACAGACCCTGCTCACAGTATTATTTTTTTTTCCCTTGGAAGCACAAAGGAAACCCATGCTGCCTCTTTTTTAAATTATTTTTTAAATTTGTGTCTGATTTGTCTGTATTATGAAGAGATGGGCACTGGTTTATTAACTGCTTGTGCACTGTAGATGTACAGACTGAGTCTGTTCTCACTTTTTCAGTATTGAGAGCAATGTGCTGAAACCAAGGGAAGAATCCAGTCTGGAAAATGCTCAGTGATACACTGCATGTACATGCAAGCTGATTTTTAGGATGAGGATTTATTCTTCCCACATTACTCAACAATTCCTTCACTTATGCTATTGTATTCCTGAAAAATGTTTCCATCTGCTGTCTGACTCCAGCTGACCCCTCTTCCCCTCATCCGCTGCTTGACAAGGACAAATGGTAGATGTTTCATAACACATGCAAAAAAAAGACCAAAACCCAAACAAACAAAAAATCAAGCGCTCATTAGATCTTCCTCCAGCATTAACCTCTCGCAGCAAAGGCTTCCTGCAGCTCTGGGGCTGGGGGTACAGTGCCCACCCGCAGGGTCCCCCTGCATCACACCCTGCAGCCGACAGCGTCCGGGGCGGGGTGGGCGATTTACAGCGATTTTTTAATGAAAATTACGTCGGGAAGTTTCAAATGTCAACACCGCGCTCAGCCAAGGTAGCGGGGGGAACAGAGAACAGAAAACATGTGCATGGGTTGTCCTGCTGCTGGCTGGTCCCACAGGACCATGTGCAGGCCCTGAGGGTGGGAGAGGGGACCTGGTCTGTGCAGCCTCGCATTTCTCGGGGCAGGCTCAGCTCCCCCGGTGTGGGGCTCAACCTGAATGAAGGGGTGGGGAAGGAGGGGAGAACGCACCCCTGGAGACAGCCAAAACTCAGCTGCATGAGCCCAAGCAATGGCTCCAGCCACTCCTGCTGTGGGGAAGCCTGGCTGGTGACCTCTGCCAGTCCTTGCCGACCCAGACTGGTCTGTGTCTCTGGCTGCCCAAGGAGGAGCGCGGTGCCCTCTCCAGACAGTACCTTGCCCAGCTGCAGGTCAGAGAGAGAGCAGGCGTCGATGAAGGCCTGGGCAATCACAGACAGACAGGCATCGATGTGGTCTGTTTTGTCAATGTCAAAGACGAACTGGGGGTTTTTCAGGATGTTGACCCAAAACCTCAGTGGAAGGCTGCAAAGAGAAGAATCCAGGAACACACACCAAATGAATTTTTGTGTTTCAGAGGGACAGGGGAGGAAATGCAGGAAAGATGATGATAGAAAGTGAATAGTGGAGAGAAAAAGCTAAGGAGCCAAATTCTACCATTTAATAACCCCAGTACAGACCCCTGCCCCAAGAGAGGGGCAGGAAAGCGCCTTCGCCCCAGAGACATTTCTACAGGCTGGAGGATGCAGCACAGACAGGTAGGCGATTGCATGTAGAGCCTCCTCTGGGCACACACACCCCTGTTCCTTCGGCAGTTCCCGAGGCAGCCGTGGGCCTGGAGATGCACCAGCAGCTCTGCCTGTGAGGAGCTGTTGAGTCAGGCTTCCTCCCCTTGCTGCTGTTTGGAGCAATGGTGTCACTGGCTTTCCCCTCTTCCCTGACAGTAACCATCATGTGATTATGATGGTGAGCCTGGCCCCATGAAATGCATTTCATGTGTCTTATTTTCTGCTCTCTCATAATTTTCTTCTTCAATTACTTCACTCCTCATCTGGCCACAATGCAGCTTCAGTCCATTGCTCGACCATCCTACTGTCCCTCCATGGCAGCTGAGGAGCAAAAGCCACTGCAAGTCTTTGCTCAACAGGCCTAATGAAGGTAGCAAAGGGCAGGCAGATCTGTATCCCAATGGTTGTGCCTTCATGCCTGCTTTCCCAGCCAAATTTGGTTTCAATTTTCACACACTGGGCTGGAAACAGTTACTATCCCCATAACCTGAGAAGCTCTGAGCCTTTCCTGGGTTCTCCCTCCAAGCCCCCTGCTCTTCCTGGTCAAAATCTCTGCTTTCTTTCCTGGTTTATTTCCCCTGCACTTTGACTCCCCCACCCAACTCCCACTGCTCATCACATTCCTCAGCACCACTCTGGTTGGTCCCAGTGCTGCAGTGCCCACCAGCATGCCATTATCACAGCATCAGCTCCCAGAGTCCCATGATAAGTCAGAGATAAGTCAGGAAAATTGTCCCTGAGGGCTGAAAAGCCAGAAAGCAAATGAAAAGGATCCAAATATGCTGGTTTTAAAACATCCATGACTCAGTCTCAGATCTCCAGTGCTTGGAGCTAACACCACTGCAGTGTCCTGTCATCCTGTTTCTCCTTTCATTATTTGTGTTAGTGTGCCAGTTCCTTCTGCCCTTTATCTGTCCTTGCCTCCTCTTCCAACTTGCTGCTCCCCTGAGCTCCATTTTTGTTTAACACTCTCCAAGCCTGTCTTTAGCCTCATCTTTTGCTGCCATCTCTGCCACCCTCCCTGTTTTCCAAGTCCCTCTTCTACTTTTAGCAACCTAATGATTGGTCTGGGACACCAGGGCTGTGCAGCTGCTGCTCCTGAGAGATGGAAGGAAGAAAAGAAAGATTTCCTCTTCCAAACCTGTTGGTCTTCCAGATGTGCAGAGTGTCAGGGTCTGTGATCCCTCTCTTCTCTGCTTGCTCCTCTAGGAAGTCAAAAAAATACTTCACGGCCACAGGCGGTTTATCATCTCGGATACTGAGAATGGCTTTGAACAAGTCATCCAGGAACTTCTGGAGTGTGCCCTGCAGGACAAGGACATACTGGAGCCTGGGGAGAGCACCCGTGTCCAGGAGAATAGCAGAGGGGCTGCCACTGCTGTGCACAGGGGGAAACCCTTTGCTACCAGTTGGTTAAATCAGAAGAAGTGGATACCAAAGCAGGGAGGGAAAGGTTTGTTTGTGCATAGTGATATAATTAACTTGCATTTGGGTTTAATTTCTTTTGGCACTAAGATTTTCTTTTTTACTGCTGGATCTCACATCTGTGGTTGTTCTGCACAGCACATACAAAGAACACTAAAGACTACTGCTCCAGTGAGGCACCATGCTGGGATTAAAGATGGTCTGGATCTGACCTAAGATCACACAGACATTCCCCCTGCTCCCACAGCTGAGTATCTCCACCTCCTGTCCCAGCAGGATCTCTTGCTGGGGAGATGGGTTCAGGTCTCAGCTGTGCATCACGAGCCCCAAGGCAGACAACCCCCCTTTCCTCTGCACAGACCCCATCCAGGCCAGGGAGATCGTGTGGGGCATCACACAGCAATGAGGGCAGCCTGGAAGCTGGAGGGACCTGAGGAGCCAGAGGTGCCTGGCAGCCTTGCTGAACATGCTCCAGCCATCCAGGACAGCAGTCCCAGTGCCTCCCGAGAGTGACCGGCCCGCAGTGCTCCTTCCCTGAAGCAGACTTGTCCTTAGGGACCACAAACAATCCCACCTGCCACGAATGGGGGCAGCCCAGCTCCTACCTTGGTGGAGAGCAGCCGTGTCAGGTAGATCTCTGGAAGGACTTTCTTCCTATGGCTCTGCCTGTGGGACTTCTTATGTTCCACTGATTCATCGGTTGGGAGAACCTGGCCCCAGATAAAACACATGGTCAGAACACTCCTCTCTGCAAGTGTCACACTGAACTTTCCTTTCAGTATAGAATTTCAACTACATATAAAATTCAATTAAAAAGCAATTACTGTTTTAGAAACACACCCTTATATGGCTTTTAAAAAAGTGATTTAAAATACTCGGTGATTTAAAATTTCTGCCATTTGTTTCTCCTGTGCTCTTTATTGCCTCTCTCATGCTAGATGAAGGATCCATCTCCCCCTGCATGCTGGCCTGCTCTCCCCACTGGGCTCTCCCACGCCTGTGTGGCTGCACCTTGGGCTCCCAGCAGCAATGCACATGGCATCTGCAGAAACTGGTTTTCCTTGGATTTTGAAAAAACACAATATATAGAAATATTGGCTTTTTCAAAACAAAAATGAATATTCCACTGGTCAGGTCAGTGAATTACTGCTGTACAATGACAAAGCAAGCCCCTGACGTCCATCCTGGCATTGTTCTACATGTGAACAGTTGGTTTCCTGTCCCTTTTCCCTCCTTGCTCGGTGCGCACGTGTGTGGATGTGCATGCTTTTACTTGAGTGTGGAAACACAAGCAGAGAAAAGAAATCCCCAAACCAGGCTATAAAATATTATTGTTGTCCGTAACATCTTTTTTCATAACAGCTTTTAGCAGTGTTTAGCACTCTGTGCTCCCAGAACGGCACACCAGCAGGAACCCACGGACATGCCCAGCCTGGGAAGCAGGCAGAATGCCAGGAGCTCCTGGCAGGTGACTCGACCGAGGTGTCACAGGATGCTGCCGGCAGCACTGTGCCATGCCGTGCTCCAAACCTGCTCCTGAGCTCTCCTTGGCTGCCCACAGCTCAATCAGGAACAACAATTTCTCTGCTAACCCGGTAATTCTTTATTGTGTCCCTCAGTACTAAAGTTTGTCTACAGATCACCTTTCTGCACCTCACTGTGCCCTGCTGAAGAGAACTAACAAGCCTTGATCCAGCTCGTTCATCATATCTGACGCTCCAGCCCACAGATATGTCAGCAAGGCTGAGAGTTTCTCCTCTTTCAACACATGCTCTGAAAAAACTGGACCCACCGACTCCAGTGCAGGAGAGATGAGGGATCGCTGCACACTCTGTCAGCATCCTTGCTGCCATGGCAGCAGGACAGATCGGGGAGAGCAGAGCACCCCGCATGCCAGTGCCACTGCAGAGCAAGTGTCCTGGAGCAACAACTCTGCTTTCCAGCAGCAGTCCCTGGAGGGCAGGAGGGGAGGGCAGCCCAGGCTCCCACACACAGCATCCCTGCAGCCACGAGCGGGATACTTACCAAGTGAAAGTACTTCTCAGTGTCCAGATCCTTCACTGTGAAGAAGAGAGACACAGTGGCTCAGTCGAGGGACCCCAATGGAAACTCACCTCCCCTGGTGCCCTCTGGGTCAAGAGCCATCTGAACCCCAAGACTGAGCTGGTGTTACCCCAAGTGATCTCAGTGTTTCTCCTTGGTTTGGGGTTGTTTATTGCATTCTGGGGTGTGTGTCAAGTACCTTAGCAGCTACTTTAAGGGGGACCTGGGATCTCCCAAGGGGTGTTTTAAGAGGGACCCAAGAGAGCACAAGAGCAGGACGAGCACCGCGGCACTCCTGCACCGCGATGCCCTGCTGTGCCCTGCCATGCCCTGAGCTCCCATGGCTCTCTCAGTCTCATCATCAGGTCAGCTCAGCCCCAAGCAGCTCCTTGCCCTGTTGGAAAAAGGACTCCCACTGCTTGGCTCTGTGCAGGTGGCCTGAAAATGGGGTTTAAAATTCCTTGTTCAAAGTGGATTTTTGTCTCCCTTGTTGTTTTTTTTGACTCTGCACAGCCTGAAAACTAGAAATGTGCTGGCAAGAGACTGAACATGTGTAAATGGGAGGGAGAGGGCTTTTCCAGCCAAATGGTTTCAGATTCTTGCTTTTTCTCACTCTGTCAGCACAGACTGGATGAGAACCCCCAATCAGAGTGTGAGATGGAAGGTGCAAACACCTTGAAGACTGGGAGAGCACTCTGCACCCCAGCAAGTAGGAACAGAAGGAGACTGGATAGCACATGTTTAGAGCCACTGCACCCCAGCACCCAGGCACGGGGCCTGGAAGTGGCTCCCAGCATCCCCGTCCAGAGACAACCTATGACAATGCAAGTGTTCCTGCCCGGTCACCAGAAGCAGGGAAAGAGGAGCAAGAAGTTACCTCTGCTCAGTGTGGTGTCCTTCTTGTCTGACAAACTCATGGCCAGGGACGCCCCTTCAGGGATCTGTGGAGGAAGGAAAGAGCAGGCACTGATGATGGGGGCCTTAACAGTTCCTCCCCAGCCTGAAGGAGAACCCAGGAGCTGGGGGATGTTGCCACAGTCACGGTTCTGCCATGAATGTCCCCTGCACCCACTCTGCCCTGCCCCTGGGCCCAGGTGGGAACTGGCAGTGACGGCACTGCCCTATATGGAAAAGGAATTTTCAATGCAAATACAATATAGAGAGGTTCTCAAACCCAATGGGAATTGGGCAAATATGTGTTTCTGACATACGTTTTTGGATGTCAACCTCAGGTAAGTTGAAGAGGAGGGAGGATTGTGCTATGCAGGTGCTGGTTTGCCTTTCCCCAAAGGGCAGAAGTGCGTCCCCTCTGCTGCAGGGCACCGCGCCAGCGCGGGCTCAGCAGCACGGCCTTACCCTGATAACCATATTAATGAGCTCTCAGCTCTGCTTTTGTTTTCTATGCACAGCTACAAACCAGTGAGGATTACGCTCCCAGGCATACCAGGGAATATGGAAATTATGTAAGTATTTCTGGTTTCACTTAATTTTAACACAAAAACGGTCAAGGAAACAATCTGATTCGCCACATATCCCCGCATTTTTGGCCTCAGCTCTTCAGTGGCATCCCTAGCCCCTGCTCTTAGGGCAGGCATTGAGTCATAGCTGTGATTTCAGCAGGAGTACGGATCAAGAGCAGAGTAATACTAATCAGCCAGGCTGGTGGCCCTTGGGAATAGGAGCTTTTTCCCCTCCTCTTTCTGTTGTCAGTAATAACTTGTTTTGCATGAAGAGTGTTTAATTAGTTTCTGTGTGTTGCAATATTAACAAGATGCTCGCCAGGGCAGATGTCTATTCCCTGGAAGCTCTCATGGAGCTATGGCAACCTCCCTGCTTGTTCCTGATGATCCTGTTTTTGGAGGGGAATTGCAGCTCTCCCTGGAGGCCAGGCAGGCTCCAAGGAGGTGAAGCTCTCCTGCAGCACTGGCAGCTTTACCTTGTAATGTGCTAATGTGTTGAGTTTCTTCCTGCCATCCTCCACCACCGAGGTGTCATCGAGGTCCCGCAGGATGTAGCTGTCGGTGCTGGTGGCAAACCACTCTGAACACAGAGAGGGGAGAAGTGAGACCCCAGCCCGAAGCAGGCAGGTGCCAGGGGGCCTGAGGCTCCAGGGACCGAAAGGCTGCCCTGATGTCTGCCCTCCTATCAGCGCTGCTTCACCCACTGCTCTGAGAGGCACCAACAGCTGCTGTGCAACATCAGGTGCTTCATCTGGTTTTATGGACTGGTTGGTCCTTACCAAGGTCAACATCTTCCACCCTTGGCCACTGGGAGTAGGGGACATTCTTGCAGAAGGCCTCCAGAATCTTCTCCTTCACTTGGCTGAGTGTGTCTGTGTCCATGGCCCTGACGCTCAGGGAGTCCATCCCACAGCCTTGGAAGGAGACGTTGAGGTTCTGCAGGCAGAGGCTGTCATTAGGGATGACCTGCCCGGTTCTGCTGGCTCCCAAGGAAGCTCGGAGGCTGCAGCACCTAGAGAGTTCTGGCTGATGCGCCCCAGGCCGCATGCTGATGGAAATCAGTCTGAACTAATGTGGCCATTGAGGTTTTACAGCATGAGAGGTGCTGATTTATAGCCCTGAGGGTCCCATTTGCTGATGGAGCTGGGAGGACACAGGGAGCAACACCACAACTCCCTCTCACGCTGTCTTGCTAATGGGGCCTGGCCCTGATGCAGAGACCACTGTGGGGTGGGAGTAAGGGTCAACCCCCATCATCAGCCGTTTGGCTTCGACTGGTGACTAATGCGGCTGCCAAGGCTCATTGCTCAGCCTCTGCCTGACACAGTGGGCCGAGCTCCACTGCTGAAATGACCTCTAAGCAGGACGGGTCTACTGTGCTGCTGGAGCCCACTGCCAGCACCACCAGTAACCAGCTCGAGAACTACTCAAGAGCAGCACAGGCAGCTGTCAGGGGCTGCAGGCTGCCACAGAGGCCTGCTCCGAGCCCAGGGAGGCACAGCTACCACCTCAGTTGCAGCCAAAAGCTGCAGGGCAATGAGAGCAACTCTTGCTATCAGAAACCAGGTTCCTCCTCCTCATACGAGCTCTGCAGACCCAATCCTATGAGCACAGCTGCAGCACATGGGTACTCACCCTTGGCTTTGCCTCAATGTTCTCTCTCAGCAGCCACTCCTCGTTGAGGGTGTACCTGGCTTTTCCCGTAATGGCATCAATGGAACCTTTGTTAATCTGCTGTTTGATGGCACAGATCAGCAGGAAGAAGGGCTCTCCAACTGTCTCCTGGAGAAAGGAAAGACTAAGTCAGCAAACAGGACGCAGTGGTGGTATCTCCATCGTGGCATGGCATGGACACTGAAGGTGCCTCCGCACACTGGGGAACTGGAACAGTCCACCCCAGGTGCTGTGAACGCCGGGCGGTGCCATCATCCCCAGCTCCCACCAGCATTTCTCTGAGGCTGCTCAGAAGTTTTCAGACTTGTGGCAACATGACAACGCAGACAGGGAAGAGGACAAAACAGCCGACAACAGCCGCAGGCCATTTTTGGGGATGTTGTAATTGTCAGCATCAACATACTCCATCCAAGTTCTCCAGCAAGCACTGGAGCTGTGGAATGCCACTGAGGGGCTAGGCCAGCCTGTGCTGTTTGGTGGGCAGAGCTCAGGTGCTGCTCAGCAGGCAGGAGCATATGCATGGCTGTGCTGAGGGGGGATGTGCATGTACAATGCCTGGCAAAATACAAATGTGCATTAATTTACATGTGAAATTACACATGAAGTTCATGGAGAATCTGACACACTGTGCTACAGAGATGCTTCCTGAACTCTGACAAGGGTGCAGATTGTACAACATGCTGGACTCAGCAGGACAAGGAGGGGCTGATATGCACAAAACTCCAGGTCTGCAGAGATATTTGGGCAGCATCTGGCTTTCTCATGAATATGTCATCTGAACCCCTCTTTGCACCGCCTGGTTTGCCACTGAACTCCACGGGAGTGAGCCCATGGTCTCAGTCTGTGGCTCTGGGAACCAGTGTTCATACTTCTCATACCACAGCAGAGCCCTCATCACAGCAGAACAGACAGGATCAGGGTCAACAAGCTGTTCCCATGCGACAGCAAGCAAACACATCATTTAACTCCTTACATTCATCAAACTTAAGCTCATGGGAGAGGTGAACTGTGGCACTACTGCAGCAAAAACCAGAAACATGACAGCTACACAGTTTAATGCTAGATTTCTGATCCGCTTCTGCCTGATGCACTGACGTGCAAGGAAAACATAAGCTATTTTTTTAAGGAACTTTTCAGTACTGCAGTACATCCCATTCTTCCTAATGTTCATATGGAATTTTCCTCCAGTGAAGCAAGTGCAAATTCTGCACATTTATGCACTCTGAGCATCCCCCCCCCGGCACAAGGAGCCCTGCCATCTGAGAGCCTGCTCAAGACAACAGATACCCAACGGTTTTGATATTTCTCAGCTAGGAGCTGCTAAATCCTGCTCAATCTGCTTCTTAATTAAAACTTGGTGATTCTTTTATTCTAATTGCCCTGTAATTGCTAAAGCAATTAGTTCGGTGTCAATTTGGATGTGCTGCATTTGGCGCGGTTGATGATACGGTGATACAGCGGGGCTCTGGGTGGGCACATGACGTCTTGTGCCAGCCAGGCAGTCGCTTCCTTTCCAAGGGAAACTTTAGGAACACAGGGAAGCTTCCCAGGTCTGCTGCAAGGGTTTAATGACTCCTGCAATGCTGATCTGAGCAGGCAGCACAAAATGGGCTCAGCAGTAGGGCTGCAGGTGCTGGAATGGAGGAAGGCACTGCTTCCAGAGTGTAGAGGAAGGTGAGTCAGGGAGGTGGAGAAGCTGAGGATTGCAAAGAGTGGAGAACGTGTCAAAAGACACAAGGAGACAATTTTGGAGAGAAAGGCAGAAGCATGAAAGAACAAGCAAGGGAACAACACCGACACAGAGACCTCCTCACGCTGCAGTACCAGTGTTCCCATATGGTGACCCACAGGGTCAACCCCCCCCAACACTGGCCATACTACCAACAGGAACTCCATTTGTGCTGCACGTGAGCAGGGACAAACCTGAGGACAAACTTGAGGCCAGGCTCTGGAGCCTGCCTGTCTCTGCCATGGGCAACTCTGGGCGCAGGGAGACCCGAGGGGGCAGCCAGCAGCTCTGCAGTGCCTCCACAACCATTGCAAAAGGGCGAGTCCTGCTGATACAGGAGCTCATTATGGCTTGAAATGAGCACAGGCTGCTCAGGTCGGGGCTGACTCTGCAGCACCATCCTGTCCATGTAAAGCTGCCCTGGAAGCGGCAGGGCAGGCGCTGTGGCACGGCGGGCATTGTGGGGTCATCACGGACCCACTGCTGTGTGCACGAGCAGGATCAGCCCCACGTCCCCTGCAGGGGACACAGTGACAGCACTCCACTGGAGAGATACTATTTCTGTTTGGCTTTCTGGCTTTCAGGCTCAGGAACTGTGGGATGTTACGGAAATCTGCAAAAGTGCTAATCAGACAGCAAATTTCAAAGCAGGGAAAGAAGGGTTGGCAGGCAGGGATTAGAGATAAAATGGCAAACTTGGAAACTTCCTGCATTGTTCGGAAAACTCATCTGGAAAGGAATCAAAACTGTCTTTGGACTTGGCTAGCTGGGAGAAAGGAAGTTTAACCAGAAGAGATCCGTGCTGATTCAGGACAAAAAAATACTTAAAAAAACACAGTCTGGGGCCTTTTTTCCTCCTATTGTGAATGTATTTTAATGAGACTTCATTTTCATTTCTGACTGAACCGTTATGGGCTCTTAAAGCTACCCAGGGCACCGAAATAACTCTGCAGTAATGGAAAGCACAGTTCAGGCTGGCAGGACTTGAACTGTTCCACGCACGAGGAGCGTGGGAGGGCTTTGTTTTTATATCCTTGGGAAAATAAAAAGGTTTAGAGCACAGACTGGATTCACATGTTGCTGCCCTATTAACACAACTCAACTCCGACAAGTCATTACACATGTCCTCCCAGGAACACGCTACAGCCATTTCCAAAATGTTTTGGTGAGGCTGGGGTGGGAAAAGCACAGAAAACAGCTGCTTACTCCAAGTGCCTACTAATTTTGGGACAAATATCTATTTGCACTCTGCAAAGAACCAAACCTCAGCCTCATCCCACATGCAAAACTTGGAGAAGCTTGGACCCAGATGTAAAAACTAAATTCCAAGATCTTACTTTGCTTTTAACAGCTAACCCCCTGATCCTGTTAGAAACTAGGCACAACAGTGAGATACCATGGTGTCTCATGGGAAAGGCTTTCTTTTTCAGTTATTTTAACCAAAACTGTAGCACTAAATAAAAACATGGATCATTTTATCTGCGATTCTCACTCAGTTCTGCAGAAACAGAGTTCTGCATTGATTGTGCAAATGCTGTACGTTCCCTCTGAGCCCTGTCCCTCACAGAAAGCTCCTGCTGGCTCATCCCATTCCCTCACACACCATCAGTGTGTGATCAGCTCCCATCAGTGGTGACTTCACTGCCTTCAGGTGCCCTCCACATGGGCAGACCACGAGTGCCTGTGGCTGGCAGCTTCTTCCCAACTGAAGACAGCTCCTTCAAATCATTTTCCCCCAAAACACAAATGGACGGGCTGTTAGGCTGAGCATTAATGCGAAACAAATGTTTCGAGCATGTAGCGTTGACTTACAAGGGAAAATACAAGCACTTGGAATTTTTCCACCGCACGACGGGCAGGGACTTTTGCAGCAGCTGTTTCAAATAGACACTGTGATTAATGGGGATAATTCAGGAATGAAAACCAGACCCATCGTCACACGTCTGACAGAGCAGTGCTACAGGCAGGCAGGCAGCCTTCTTTTTAACCAAGAAATGCCACTCTGAAGGCAGCAGAAGTTGATCCCGAGGAACGTGAGGCACATGGGAGGCGCCTGGCTATCAGTAGTATTTAAATCACAGCCCTGAGCTGACACCAGCCGTGTGCAAGGAGGTGCCGTCTGTCCCACCACAGGGGCTCCCTCCTCATTCGCGTGGCGGGGAAGTTGCCAGCTCTGCTGATCTGGATCGAGCCCCTGTCCCTTTGTACAGCTTGGCTTGTGTCACCTTGTGACAGTGCAGGGGCCTCTCCAGACACTCTTGTCTGACCAACTCCTTTCCCTCTCCGTATTTCAGCAGAACCTTGGTATCTCCTCTGATCTGGTCCCTGATCACTGTGGAGCACGTGTGATGTCAGTCTCTTGGAAATAACTTTATTATGCTCTAGTTTGGAAACCATTTGCTTTCAGAGATGGGAAATGAGCTGTGGTGATGCTCTGCACTGCCATAGCTTCAGGCTGGGCACAGGAGTTGTGGAGGGGACTGCAAGCCCAGCATGCAGCCTTAGACCACGTTGAGGATCCCCTGTGGGCAGATGGAAATGCACATTCAGCCAGTGGCCCAACAGCTCTGCAAAGGGCCTAATCGCCTCACAGACCTGCTCCCATCAGACCCCATCCTCGTCCTCCCTCCGCAGGGCAGGTGGGGCCAAGAGCAGGAGGAAGCCAGCTCATAGCTCCCACCAGCACTGCCTGGCCCTGGGGATGGCCACAGGCCATGCCATGGTCCTGGACCACGTGGGGCTGGGCAGCTCCCAGCCGGTGCCCCAGGGATGGGCAGCCTGCTGCACGTGGAGCTCCTCACCATTAATGAGCTATGTAACGTGCCCAAGCCTTCGGGCACACGTGATAAAGCTCCACTTTCTTTCCTCTTTTTTTTTCTCCCTGAGAAAGCCTTCTTGCACAATGTCCATTTTTAGCACAGGCTGGAGTTGGATCAGATGCCTCACATGTGGTCTCCAACTCCCCAAAAGGAGAAATCAGCACTTCTTTTTCTCCAGTCGTTTAACTAAAGGCACAAAATCTGAAGATTAAAAAATTGCACTAAATCCCTCTTTTCTGCTCTTATGGGCTGGATAGCTGCGCCACATCGGCACAGCCATCGTCACCCAGTCCTGTAACTCTTCTTTCATTAGACTGGCTAATTATGTGAGCTAAAATGAAAGATTATGAACTACAAAACCACAGGCTTTAGGACAAAAAGTGATCATCAGCTGGGATCAGAAGACATCACGATATGTATGAGAACAATAAAGAATTGCTTCTGTGGCTGTAGAAAACACTTTGGGAAAAGAGATTTTTTTCAAAGGCTTTTTCAAGGCTCTCCCCTGTGGGTATAATAGGGTGTCCTCCAATTAACTGCCATGGAATCAATTAAGTTATTGCTCAATTCTTCTGGGAAATTCCACACAGAACTGGCAAACGTTAGAGATAAAGTACTGAGCAGATGGACTGCTGATGGCTCTGAGATGCCAAACATATTCCTTTTTATCACAGTCAGGAAGACAATCAGGCTTCAGGGACAGACATCCCATCTTCTCCTACTTGGATTTGTGTGGAATCACATGGATGCCTCTGCCTGAGAGGCCCCACACACCAGCGGGCACTGACATGGAGCAGCCCCTGCCCTGACACTCCTGGCCCTCCCAACTACTGGGGCTTCCATGCCAGAGACAGACCCTGCTGGCCTGTGCCAGCTGGTCACAGCAACAACATGAAACCAAGTGGTTTCCCAAACCTCCAGCCATTCTGGTTATTTCTCAGCTCCCCTATGACTCTTCTCAAGCACAGCGAAAACGTCGGTCTGTGCTCTGGCCTCCCATGAAGGCTGAGCTCACCAAAGCCCTGGACAGAAGGGGAGAAGCAACTGAACTTCAGGTTGCTTATTCACACCTGAACTTTTCAATACAACAGTTAGTGACCGTTCGAGTGGCACTGCTGGCAGGTGTCAGGTCCTCAGCTGTCCCCACATCCCTCATCACTGCTGCACCCAGAGCTGATCCTGTACCCACTGCAGCAGTGACTGGCACTCTTACTCTGAGATAGCTGTACATGCAGATGGACATCCAGTTGGTGAGCATCTTCTCCACCACCGATTCCGTTCTTCTCAGCATCAGCTTGGGGTTTTTGGAAGCTGAAGCATCTATTAGATCTACCAAGAGGTCCTTCATGATGCTAGTGTAATACTCCAGTTTCCCATGCAGCGCAATCGTAAGCAGTGACGCCAGGTTACACCTGAAACACAGAACGTGTAGGACTCAAGCCCCAGTCCAATGAGACTGAACTGCTAACTGGCACTAAAAAACCCAGCACAAAAAGGCAGTCTCTCAGACAACTTTCATGAGCCTTCTCACTGGTGTTAGAAGTTCCAGTACTCTTTCAGTGCTGCAGGATCTTGGGTCAGCTTGCACGTTCTTACTGATAAGCCAAATGAGTGAGTGCTCTTCAGGGTTTATGGTCATCCATTTCTAATAGAAAAGTGGGACGCAAGAGTAACTCAATCACCCACTGAAATGCCCAGCCCCAGACACTGGCTGGATTGCTACAGGTTAGGAAGAAATCAGTCTCCTCTAGCTGCCATGTCTTTGGTTTTGAAGCTCATACCTGTCTCTGACAGCAAAGTCCTTCTGTTGCTCGAGAGCATGGACAAACACGATGAGAAAGTGCTTGTTGTTGAGTAAGGTGGAGAACAGTGAGATTCCTTCTTCCATGTTGGGTCTGCAGTTCTCAGGGATCTGAAAAATAATGTAGAAAGCAGAGAAAATCCTGCTTGTTGTTTTCCTCCAGCTTTCATCCCCCTTGACTGCAGGGATGTCCCTACTGAGCACAGAGGTACCGAGCAGAAGTGCCCTTCCTCCCTCTGCCTGACGCAGCCAACAGTCTCCCTGGCAAGGGTCACACAGTTGAGCCAGCAGGGCACTGGCAATGGCCCTTCCACTCAGTTCAGCACTCAGGAGGATACCTGGAGCACTGTGGCCAGTCTGAGGCTCCCCACTATGAGACAGATGGAGCAAGTGCAGCTGAGGACTGACAAAACAATCAGTGGGTGTACAGGAGAGGTGAAGAGGGCTGCATTTGGTCAGCCTTCAGAAATTTCAAGGGGAGATCTTACTGCAGCCTCAGCTGTCCTGTGGCAGGGCAGAGAGGAGAGAGCCAGGTTCTTCTCTGCCAAAACAGTGCCAGAATGAGAGGCAAAAGATATCAGATGGAACATGGGACATTGACTAAATATAAGGAAGGCAGTTTACACCTTTAAGGGTGTCATACACTGAAACAAGGCCCCAGGAGCCAGTGGGATTTCTGTCCTTGAGGATATTTGGTACAGTTGGATGAGGCCTTCAGAAAACTCATCTAGTTGGGGATGTTTTAAGCAGATCTCCCTTCCAACCTTAGCAACTCTCTGACTCTTCAATCCCTACTCTCTGTCCACTTCAAACCCAGCTCTGGGACAACAGCAGCTTTTGCCAAGTCACCGCTCAGTAAAAGGAGGAATCTCACTCATGAGGAACTGTGACTGAGGCTGAAGTGATACACGGTATGACACAGGAAGAAGAGCCCTCAGCAGAGCCGGGAAGGATCCCAGGCCAATGTTCCTTCATGCAAGAGCAGATCCACAGATCTGCCTTCTCCGACTGGCCAAAGCTGATCCAGTGCTGGTCTGTGTTGATGGTTAGCAACACCCAAAAGCATTTGTTCTGTTAGTGGGTTACTCACCTTCCATTCTCCCACTAGGAGCGGATGTGTTTCCTGGACCTGGGAGCCCACCTGGGAGCTGAGCTGCTGGGACGGGAGGACGTAGCACTCCTCGTAGAGAGAGGAACACTGGAATCAAGCAGAGTGTTAGGGGAGGGCAGTGCACCTGCCCGGGGACTCCCTGTGTGCTGTGCACCTCAGGGGAACGAGATGGGAGCCATGTCATTGGAACTAAGACCACCCATCACAAAGATGGTTTGCATAGTTTATGAAGCCTTAAAATACTTTGCAAGAGCCTCTCGCACCACAAATACGGGGAGAGGCAGACATCTGCACAGACACAAGGCTGTTAGGGCAGGGAGACTGCAAATAGACTCATGTGACAGCCAGAAAACTCCCAGAAGAGAAAGCTTTATAGAGGACGAAATCAAAATAGAGGAGTTCTGGATGTTTTAACATACGTAACTTTTGAATGAGATGGGAAAAATGTTTAAATCTCTAACATTCATATAGCAGCCTGAATCTTAAAGCCTCTAAGTGTGCAGAGATATGGAGAGTGGATAACTGCAAAACCTGAGTAATAGCTACTAATGAAATACTCTGCAGTCATAAATCATCATCTCACTCCTCAGCACCAACACACAACTACCTCAGGGGTGAAATACAGCTGTGGTGAAGGGCGCACAGCAACACAGCAGGGCAGCCAGTGACAGAAATTACAGCGCTGACATGTCTGTTGCGGCCCTGGAGAAGGACTCTGGGCAGACATACTGGGACTGGTACCCAAAGGACATCTTACTGGGAGCACCATGCACCCAGCTTGGACAGGGAGGAAGGAAAGGGGGAGACAGAGACGCCCAAAGAGCTCCTGAGGACCAGCTGAGCTGCTGGGAATGCTCAGGGACACCCTGCCTGGAATAGAAAGCCCCTCTCCCTGAACACCAATGGCAGATTAACCCTTCAGCCACCCTTCAACCTCCACTGAATGGAGCCCTTGAGGAGAAGTCTCCAGAACTCTGCTCATGCGAGAACTCTTTCAGAAGAGGGTGTCCAATGGCTATGAAAGGGCGAGCTGGAGTGACTGCCAGGACAGTGCCACCGCCAGGCTATGTCATGTGCAAGCAACCCCAATCTTACTTGATGCCCCAGGAGCTGTGGCTCCACTTTTGATGGTAATCGAGGTTGAAACACATGACAAGTAAATATATAACAGTGGAATGATTTTGTGACACTGTAAAAGCCCTTTAGCAGAGCCCTGATCTGGTTGGGAAGGACCTCAGTGCGATGAGGTGCCCGTGACACACGCTGTCTCCTTACTTTGGGGAAGAACGTCCTGGTGACAAAGTGCTTGTACTCCAGGAAGGGGATCCCTTGGCTGCGGTTCAGCTCCTTGGTCAGGTCGGTCATGTCTGTCTGCAGCTCCGCGAAACCTTGCACAAAGAGACCCGCAGACAGTGAGCACCCAATCCTCCACCAGGCAAGACAGGCTGGCACCAGAAAGCATGGCACATCTCATCTCCGACTCATTGAGCTGTTCCCTTGTGGAGGCTGAAGCTGTGTTTTCTCTGAGCAGCAGATTCCCACTGGTGTTTAATCATCAGCACTGTAAACCTTGTTCCGAGCACTGACAGAGCATTCCCCGCCCCAGGAGTCCAGCCCCATGGGGCTGGGCAGGCAGTTCCCACAGGACGGGACCCCAGCCGACATGGTGGGGTCATGGACTGTGGGACGGCAGGTGCTGATGCCTGGATCACTTCTATTGCTCTGGTAGGAGTGTGCTGCAGCTTCTGTTGCACCCAAGTGTAAAGCACACTAAAGATTAGCATGGTCTTCAAGCAAACCTCTGACACAGCTAGGGGCCATTAACTCCAGGACAGGGAAGCTGGCTGCGCTGCAGATCAGTGGCTTGCCCAAGTCAGGCAGCAGGACGGCAGCAAAGCCACACTTCCAGCCACTGAGCCTCATTCCCAAGACCTGCTGAAGCTCACAGGTAGCGACAGAAATTTTCCTATAAATAATCCTATAAACTTCTACAGCGCAGAAGGTGAAAGACTTCAAGCCTACTATCCCAGCATCCTCCTTCTAGCCCTGGGTCCTCCTTGGTGCCCAGACGGTGACTTACCTTTGCGGATTTCCTCCCGGATCTGTGACTCCATCTCCTCCATCTGGAGCAGGGTTTTCTGCCAGTAGCGCTCAGCTCTGCGGCTCTTTGTGCAGAACACAAAGAGTGCTGGAAAAGAGAAAGGGAAGAAGCCTTTTGGACTCAGGCTTAAGAGTAGCTGCAGCTGGGACCAGAGAGGTTCCCTCTGACATGGTGCAGAAACCTAAACCCAAAGTTGGTTTCACACCTACCACCAGTCTGGTATCTGCTCAGGTAGTTGTCGATTTATCTGTAAATAAGTAAAACCAGCTGGAATTTAATGATCATGCTGTAACTGTCATCTTCAATTTAGGTCTGGGCTGTCTGTATTCAGCTTAACTGTATACTAATGTGTTCCAGCTGATTAATGAATACAGAATTTAGGATGTTTACCACCTGTACTACAGTGTTCACATCCGACAGTCTTCCCATGACTCCAGAAATATATTTCTAATGATGGGTGCTGCATTTAATAAATCGGTGTGCATTACAGTCTTTATTAAAAATAAATTAAATCCTCATTAGAAACCACTCATTTGCTGTGAACTGGCAGGTTTCTTGCTGCAGGGTCGTGCTGGGCAAGCAAGGAGCGGGTACCCCAGCCCAAGGACAGAAGTATGCTGCACGGTTTCCACCCAGGTTCGCACACTGGCGTGCCTATTCCACACCTGTAGCTACGAATGCAGGCTCTGCTCTTCCTGCTCTGCCAGGCACCTGTCACTGCCTGTTCCTGATGACAGGACCTCGGGCTAGGAGCATCTCTGGGATGATCTGAGACAGTCACGCCTGTGAGTGAGCCCCGGGAGTCAGTACTAGCCCAAGACCAATTTCTCACATTCTTCTTTATTTGGTACTATAGTAGCTACTAAGGTTTTGGGGAAAAGGTAGGTTTATAAATATCACAGGCTCAAGGAACAGAGCAGAGCTGTGGATTCAGCCAGCAAAAGCTCTGTGCTGCAGGGAGCTGTGGAGCCACGGCCCTGGTACTGGCTGCGTGCCATACAGAGCACGGCTACCTGCTGCACCCAGACCAACTTCAGGTACCGCATTATTGCAGCACTTGAGAGTCACCTTCACTACTCCACAGGCAATGACAAAAACCTCGGCACAGCCTTGGAATACATCATTCTTTCCCTTACCTACAACAGAAAGGACCAGCAGGATGCTGCAGATGACGATGGAGACAATGATTGCGGTCTCTCCTCCCCCAAGGTGCAGCATCGCGATTGTGTAGTTGAACTTTCCAACTTGGATCTGGAGAGGGAGAAGGAGGGAGGAAAAGCAAGAGCTGAGTAGCACATTGCCAAGGGGCTGGGAGCAGGGAGGGACACAAGGTAAGGCTCAGCAGACCTTTGCCCAAGGACACACTGACCACACTGGTGCAGCCCCCTGGGCTCCACGGGGGGCCAGGCTGTGCCTTTCACTGCCAGACCCTGGGTGCTCCATGTGTTCAAGGGAGCCCAATTCACTTCCTGCACTCCTGGGGATGCTGAGGCTGCTCCTGGCAGGCTGCAATGCTGCAGCAGTGCCCATCCCAGGGCCACTGTGGGGCTTCAGTGGCGGAGTGGCAGGCCCACAACACAGCCTCACCATACCCACTCCAGAATGAGACAGCCCTTTCCTAGAGAGCACAGGACTGCCTCTGCTGCTCTACTGGAAAACCACTTCCACTAATCATTGACTTCCATTATGGCTCTGAACAGCCTTTGGATCCCAGCTGCGCTAGCCTTTCTCCTCCAAAAGCAGAAATGCTGTCATGCAGAAGGAGGGTTAAGAAATTTTCAAGTCCTTGAAATACAAATAAACTAAGGGAATAAAAATAAATAATAATGAGACCATAGAAGAGTAATGATCTTGTGGCTAAAGCAGTGAACAGGGTGTCAGGAGGTGCTGGCTCTGCTCCCAGCCTGTACTTCTTGTGACACCAAGCACAAAGCACTTGAGTTCAGTCTTTGGGTCTCCTGATATCCAGAAGGGAAGAGACCAGCACACATCACAGGCTGGAGAGTTACTGGGCACCGTTTACAAACAGCTCTTTGGGCCCTTGGGATGAAAGGATTCCACAGCATCATCTGATAAGGAAAACTCATGACCACACAAGGCTTTCACTTCTGGAAATGTGAGTTTCACTTCTCTCGAGGAACGAGAAGTGAGAGAAACTGAGCAAAAAAACCTGAAACAAGGTAGGGAAGAGCTGGAATAATCTTACAATTACATCTGTGTCACAGAGCACCTCCAGGACAGGTGACCCCGGGCACCCTTGGTGTAGCACCTGAAATTCCAGTAGCTCTCAGCTGCTGAGCCAAAGCCGTGCCACAAGTGGGGCCTTCCCACCATCTCCATCACCAGATACCACATCTCACACAGCTCCATCCTGTGGAAAATCCAGCCCTGGTTCTGGGAGCACTGGCACAGGCATGGCTGCTGCCAGCAGAAGGCTCTGGACACTGAGAGCTTTGGTCTCCACCCTGGCACATTGTCTGAGAACCGTGGTGCTGGACAGGGAGAAGAGCCACAGCACTGCACAAGCACCTTGGCAGGTTTGCTCAGCAGTCCCATGGTCTGGCCCCAGGATGTCCAACTCTTCCCTCTGAAATGCTGCAATGAAGCTGCTCCTCAACATGATTTGAGTCTTTTTTTCCCCACCAAATCAAAGTTTTGCATTTTTCAGAGGAGAAATCCCATGCCTGCTGTTTAATTCAGTGTTTAAACAGTTTGGTCATGAACAAAGATGGGTCTGAAAGCCTCGACAAGCTTCTCTTGTGTATCTGGACAGGTCTACTCAATACTTGGTAAGACCCAGACAGGGACCCTGCACATGCCTGCCCTGTGTCATCAAAGTCATTGCAAGTGTGTTATAAAGCAACAGTCACCCCTGGAGCAGCTGGCAGGGATGGCCTGAACCGTGTCTGAAGGTTTAGCAAGGGTGCACAGGTGTGAGTACAAGCAGATTATTTAGCTGCGCTTTCACTGCTGGTGCACTCTGAAGAGTCTTGTGATATTTAGGGCTGAGTATCATTCTCCTGCTTCCTGGGGACCCACTAAGGCACTGCCCTGAATGATTTATGTCACACCAAGACTAGCAAACTCATAAATTCCTCTTCTTCCCCAAAGGGATTTCCCTGTTCTCAGTTCTTTAAAAAAATTCCCCTGTTTAAAATTTCCATTAAAATTACTTGGGAAATTTTGGTACTTCTGCATTACCACATTTCCCGTTTTCAACAGAATTTCATATACCTCAAATTGTTGCCAGTAAACTGGACAACGCTGTCAGCAAACTGGTGGTGCATCCTCATGCCTTTCTTCTGGGCTGCTCAAGCCCACAGCTCCTCAACTCCCTTCAGCCTTCCTTCTCCTCCCTGCCCCCACTACAGGCTCCCACCCCTCCCTAACCCTAATCCTACCAACACAAGGACTGGGAGGGGGCAGCACCGTCTCAGCCCACGGAGGTGGAGGCATTTTCTCTCAGATACAAAGAGCCATAGTCACATCCCTGGATGGCAATGGACTGTGTGTGACATGACGGAAACTGAGGGTGAGCACAGCAGTTTAATCAAGCCCTCTGGAAAACAGGGAAGTACCCAAGTGTGGTGAATTTTGCAGACACAAAGAGAAACAAAAGCCCTGAACACCAAATTCCTTGCAGTGACAAAGCAGCAGCCCCTGGAAGCAACATGAGGCTGTCCAGCCCTAGTACTCCTCTCACCCTCCTGGTCACATGCAGGGACTCAGCCTGCTGAGGGTCAGACTGTCACGGCCATTCGTGGCCCTTCTGCAGAGCAGCTAGCTGAAAGCTGTAAGGAACTCGCCAAACACATCTCATGGGGGACAGAAAATCACTGCAAGTGACGAAATCTCATGTGCCTGAGACCTCACCGAGCCTTAGCAGAACTGAGCAACCACCCCGTGAGCACAGTGCAGTACCTGAGCAGGCAGCTGTCAGTGTCCCATGACTTGCAGTGCAGTAGCCCCTCACCACAACTTGGGCAGCCTTCATCCCACTGACCGGCTGCCCTGGGACAGCCGCCAGCACGGCGTGCTTTGTCCACCCTTCCATCTGTGCAGCCTTGTGTGGGGTCACCAGTGGGTGAGCTGGGCAGGTCCTTCGCACACAGAGTTTGCAGCGCGACTCCTCTGCCCTACACACTCCCAGTGCGGAGGCTCTGAACTCACCGTCACGGGTAACTGCCTTTCTGAGGTGCTCAGCGACTCATTGACGGAGCAGTGGATGACTTTGTCTGAAACAATCTGGATCTCACATGAGATCAGGCCGATTTTCACCTGGTACTCATTGCTCTCCAGGCCCAGGCTGTCAGGCTCTTTCTAAAGACAGAAATAGAATCAGGATGTCAGGCTGCAGAGTAGCAGTTGGAATTGCAACTGATCTTCCTCCTTTACTTTCCATATTCCCTACTGTTTTGCAGACCTGGAAGACTCTCCCTCACCAAGGACATTTTTCCAGCACTCCACAGGAAAGCCAGAACCAGGCCATTCCCCATTTTCCTGTTTCCCATTCCTCACGCAGCATGGGGCAATGGGATGAACAAGCCCCTCATGGAACCTGGAAAAATCTGCTTTTGATCTGGCCTGCTGTGCACTGAAGATAAGGATCTAAGTGCCCACCTGGGAGGGGGAAGGATGTACAACAGAGAGGACAGCCAGGGGATGCGCCTGCAGAGCCTGAGAAAGGGGGAGCACATTTCTGGAGCACGTTGTAAGCAGTGAGGATATCCTGCAGTGAACAATGGCCTTTGAATTACTATTGCTCATTGTACAGGCCACTCAGCTGCTACACCCCGACTTCCTTGTGAGCTGAGCTGAATTCAGTAGTCAAAAGAGAAGAATTCATGACCTGTTTCTGCAGGAATAAACACCTACTGTCAGGCTCATCTGCAGTACCTGCCTTGTTTCAGGCCAGTGCATTGTCATTCTTTTTCCCACATCCAGTATTTCATTTAGACTCATGCTATGACACCCTCCCAGGCAGCTCTGTCTCAGAGGGCATCCTCAGGCTGGGCTGCACCTCCTGAGACAGAGAGATGCAAGAGCAGCATGCTGAGCCCGAACCACCTGCTCCTGCCTCTCCAGTCCCCAGCTACCCGCTTCTCTCTCCTCTCCCTGTGCACGGTCCCTGCACTGGTACTCAGGCCTGCGGAGCTGCCCGTGGGGGAGCAGGCAGCACCCGAGAGAAGCAGAGCTGTAACAGCTACTCTCTTACGTGTATGACCAGAGTTAAGGGCTCGCCGGGATGGTGCTTGATCCACTTCTCCTTCTTGGCTGTGGAGAACTGGGGGTCAGCATAGTACTCCAGGCTGAACTTGCTGAAGTGCAGGGCCTCCTCAGGGTACATCTCCTCATCCAGAGCTGGGCGGTCATCTGCGTAGAGGCGCCCATTGAGGTAGAAGTCAACGGGGGCAGGTTTGCTCCCCACAGTGATGTTGGAGGCAGCTGGAGAGGGGCAGGTGATCGTGGTGTCAGTGTGAACCTTGCAGCACTGCAAGCAGGAGAGCATGACAACATCAGAACCCCAGCACCACGAGTGCTCTCACCCCATCCTGAGGCGTGGGCTGAGGCCTCAGCTTCACACCCCAGCCATCCTCTGGCAGAGGACACACAGTCCCACTGCCACCAGGCCATACCCAGCCAGGACACCCACCGTGTGTTCTCTGCCGATGCCACGGACAGCCATGGACACGTTCTGGACCAGCCCAAAGCCTCTTCCTTCCAGGGTGATGATCCTGCCCCCACTTTGAGAAGAGAAGAAAGAGAGGGTGACTGCAGAGGACAGTGCAGCAACAGGGTGTGATGGCTGAGTCTCCCTCCTGTCCTCATCTCTTTTCCCAGAGATGTTTCCCAGCTGTTTGAGCAGAAAATTTGACCCAACAGCCAAAGTCTTCTTCCTGCTTACAGCAAGGATCCACACTGCTACCACAGTATCAGGGAAGGAAGGAAGGAGGAGTAGATGCTGTGGTGGAAAGTGGGAGGGCCTCTTCCAGCAGAAGGACACATCCCCTGCCCCTACCCATGTCTCTGCCCCTGTCCCTGCCCCTCAGAGACCTGCAGAGAACTGTGAGTCTTGAAGAGGGAAAAGTCCCTTAGAGGTTGACAGGGATCCTGCATCTCCTACGAACTTCTGATTTAGATCAGAATGTGAAAGGTGTTGTTTTGTACCTGCTGGGGGGGAAATGCAACCCATGGGCCTCTCACTGTGCAGTCAACTAACAACACAAACGAGCAGCGCCAATGTGCACAAGGCAGAGCAAGGGTTGGAGAACCATCACTGCTCATCTGCACCCTGGATTTACCCTCCCCTTCCTCCATATCATATTTGACCTGGTTAGAGCATTTGCCAGGGAACAGTCAGAACTCACAAATCCTATTATGCAAAGAGCACTCCAGGCACAGTGACTTTGGCCATGAGGCCCCAAGGTTCTCTGAAGCCTGTGGTATCACAGGTAGTTATGATCCAGGTTTCTAACTAGGAGCCTGTCACATCTGCAGACTAGCTTACAATTTCTGTTTGGGTTTAAATTTTGCTTATATGAATTATTTTATCAACATGGTAACAGAAATCGGTCCCAGCTAGATTTCTACACAAGTTATTGACCCCCTCATGGTAAACAGCCCAGAAGCATGGTGTAGCAGCCAGACTGCATAAGCCACCACACAGGCTGTAGAAGTCACAGTCCCTGTGCTCTGAAATTTGGGAACTGCTGTAAGTGCTAGGAAAGCATCACTAAGGTGATGGAGAAATACCCCAGTGGTTTCCTTGTGACTGTAAGCAGGGACATTCTTCCTCTGTCTCTTTTTAGACAGCACTCTCGACACTCAGCAGTTGGGAGCCTGCGAGGGGCTGAGCCTGTATGAGTCATGGCTCTGCCTTTCCAGTAACATTCCCACAGCCTGCGGCCTTGGCGCTGCGCTTGAGAATGCCGAGAGGCGGCTTTGTTCCAAGGGGATCAGAGCACCGGAGCCTGCTCGCGCTTGCCTCTGGGTGTGCTGCTTCCACCAAGGTCCTGCCGCCACAGCTGCTGGCATCCCAGATTTCCTGGTCAGCCCTGGATTTTCCAGACTTCACAGCTGAGGAGGGTTGGATTTCACTATGATATCCAAAGGAACAGAAGCCCAAGTGCTCCACAGAGAGACGTGAAATTAAAAGCAACACATTTTCAAAATTAAATACTGTGACCTCGGGGAAGGCTGAAATCCAAAATTACAAATCTCAGCCTTCTACAGTTTTAATGCCAAGAAAATTCCTTAGGGTCTCATTGAGCCCCCACCTGAAACCTCCCTAAAGTACCCAGCAGGTATGCATGATACAGTTACTAAGGCTGACATTTTTCCACTCCTAAATGCATCAAAACAAACTATGGACAGTCCTGGTGTGTGAGACCTCTTCTACTCCTGTGCTGGGTTACCCTGGAGCACCCTGAGAGCAAGCTGCAGTGCAAGGCAATGTGTCCAGCTCCAGGGCTGGGAAGCCCCTTTCTCCCAGCAGGACCCTCTCCCACCACTCTGGAACTGACCCTCTCTTTCACAGGCTGTCTTGGCTGGGGCAGGATCTCACCTGATCTGGCTCTTTTTGGGGTTGATGTCTGATATAACTGGGTTCTTCTCATACTTGAAAGTGATGTTGAGGCTGGTACAAGACTTGTTCTCAAACTGCACGCAGACTGGCACAGGCGTGGTGAGCTCCGCGGCGGGCATGGTGCAGGTGATGGTGCTGTCAGTGCGGCTGCGTGGGAAGAGGCAGGTGAGCTGTGGCACAGGCAGTGGCTGGAGCCTGGCACTGCGGGCTTGGGCAACCCCTTGGCAGCCAGGCAGGTGGCAGCCACAGGTGAGAAGGAGCTTCCAGTTACATGCCAACTGCCTGTTACACTTGGCCTGCTAACGAGCACCAGCACACACCATCCCAGCTGCCGGACCAATTCCCAGTACAGCCAGAGGGAAAGGGCAGGCAGGGGAATGCTATGCCAGCATAGAGTGATGCCCCCCCACCAAAACACCTGCCCTGCTTGACCACCTGGAGGCCAATACCATCCTTCCTATGCTTTGTCTCTTGTCACTAGCCCAGCACCAGCCCCCAGCCCTGCTCCCACCTGAGGTCAGTGCACTGCTTGGAGGAGTTGATGAGGACACGGAGCTCCGAGCCGACATCCAGCCTGCTGCCTCTGATGGTCACTCTGGTTCCTCCAGCCTTCGGGCCATTTGGGGGAGCAATGGACTGCACCAGGGGAAGCTAAAAACAAAGGGGAAATCTGTTTCCTAGCCCAGTAAATCTACAGCTGGGTACTCCACGCTGCACATGGGAATCGATTCAGAATGTCTAAGTATCCAGCACTGTGAGGCTCAAACAGCAGCACAGCAAAAGCTTTCGTGGGCAGGGTTTTGGAACTAGAGGACAGGTACAAGCGCTAAGGAGTGAGACAATACAAAATCTCAGTGACTCTCTGTGGTCTCTAAATTCTGGTTATAAGGGACACATGAGGCCAAACAGAAGCCCAAGATCCCACTAGCCCCTTCAGTTTTCCAGCAGAGGGATCCAGAGCCAGCAACAGCTCAAGGTCCATCAATGAAAGGAAATTTCTCATTCGTTCCCTCTCCCACCACCTCTGCCCTTCCAGATCCATGTCTTCCTAAATGCAAGGATAATGTTAAAGCCCTGCTGGATGATGGCTTTGAGATTGGTGAAAACAAACACCTGCATCTAGATAATTGAATATCAAACCCCTGCTTAAGGAAGCTTAAAATCTGCATCTCTTGAGGCGACAGGAACTAAAGGGGAAGTTACTTTGCCTCTCACCATTTGCAGCAGAAATTAGCGTGTATGTTATCTGTGTTTGCAGACCCTGGAAATCTTCCCGAGATTCAAGAGCTGAAGGCTTTGATAACTCACGTGGCGCTGAGCCCTTGTGTCTGCTCACAAGCACCCCAGGAGAGGCTACTGGCAATGTCTCTGCTCCATTTGAGCAGGACAGCCAGGGTAGAACAAATAATGATCTCAAGACCCTTCCACAGGGCAGTGGTAACTCCCTCTCAGACAGCACATGCCCTGAGGTAAGAGGCCCATGGGGACTGGCCCTGCTCACCCCCAGGCCTTCCCTCAGAGCAGACCCGCATGAGCAGGAAACCCATGTATTAAAATCTACCCTTGCCCTTGTCTTACACTCCGATGGCTTCATTCCTCTGCAGTCATTTTCCTTGTTGTTTCTGACCGTCACCCACTTCCACAGGATCTGTTTTGTATTTCTCTGGGTGTCTGTAGGCAGCTGTCTCCTGCCCTTGGCCCTTAACCCACGCATTGACAAGTGCAGCTACAACAGCAGAGACGATTGTTCCTGTTCCCCAAAGCCCTCCAGCTCTTCCCCTCAGCCAGAGCCAGCGGCTGCTGCTCTCAGTGCACTGCCAGTACCAATCGCCTCCATCACAGCTTTGGCAAATCCAGCTCATCCACAGCCTGCTATAGTGTTCTGAAGGGGCCTCTCCGTTTTCCTCAGCACAATTACAGCTGAATCCTACCTCTTCTAGACACATCTAATGGGGACTATGAAACACGTAGCACAGAAACAATATTTGGTATGTCACAAAGGGCTTTCTTTGAATGGGCAGCTCTGAAAATCTTTTAAATTTTTCCAGGCAAACTGTATCTGTAACCAAGCTCAGGTCTCACCAAGACCAGCCTTGCATGGTGTAGGCAACGCCATCTGCATGCCACTAGGTATGAGAGGAGAACCAACAAAACTAGTGTTGCTTGGTCTGCAAATGGTGCAGAAGCATATTTTTTGAAAAGTTGCAAAGCAACTTTTGGTGTGACACACCCCCAGGAATGCATCATGCAGTGTCCCTCCCCACCACACATACAGGGCACTTCCTCATCTCTGCTCCAAGCTCTGCTGAGACACACAGACTGAGAGACAGACAGACAGGCAGTTTTCTGCTGTGCCACCTGACCAGGAATGGCTCCTCTCCCACTCCAGGGTATACTGCCTGCTTCCCAAGCTTGCCCAGGAGCTGCCAGCACAGGGCTGCCACAGACCCAGGCTGAGGTCAGGGATTGGCTTTGTTCTGCGCTGGTGCTTCCACAGGTGTTTCCTGAAAGGCTTTTCCCACATGCAGAGAGCTGGACCCTTTCCCACGCTCCCCTCTGTCAGGCAGACAGTATCCGGCAGCAGGGGATGTGCCAGCTGAGCACATACCTCCTGAGAACCCCCAGACCCCGGGGCCATCACTGGATTGTACCCCCGTGGCACCTCAGTCCACTCCAGACTGCTGGATCTCCTGCTGAGACTGACCCAGCCATCGCCTCACCAGTGCCTCCCTCTGCACTGCCAGGCCTGGCTCTGTTGGGTGCTGGGATGTGCCATGCCTGTGCCAGTTGCACACTGTGTAACCCATAACCCTCCCTGAACTAAACACCCAACCTCTCAGTGGTTATGGGGTGGGGAATCACACTCCATGATCTGCCCTAAATTCTTCACAATGGCCACCAGGAATCAAACATCATTTCCTGGGGCTTCGAGTCTCCTCTCAGGTCAGCAGCTTGCATCATGGGCTGTCCTGCCTCAGCTGAAGCTGGAGTGGAGGCACAAAGGCTCCGAGCCCTCTGCATGCCCTTGGCACCAACCTGCTGGGGCTGCCCAGGAGTAGCATCCAGCCACGGACAAAGGTCGTGTAGGGAAGAGAAGAAATGCATGGATTTCTCTCAGGTTTGTAGAGATGAAAATTGTCTTTGTGAGATGGCACAGCACAGAGCTATAAAGGGCTTTTCTTTGAACAATGACAGAGGGTTAGCTCCAGTCTAATCCCTACACATTACTTCATGCAAAAACTAACACAACCTCTACAGCAAAAATATCAGTTCTAAATAATGTGAATTCATCGAATGTAACCTACACCTCAAAAAGGAACTTCACAAATCTCAAAGAATCTTACAGGTTGTAACAGCACTTCAGCAAAAGAGGCAGAAAAAACCAGCTCCTTTCATAGAAGGAGAAATGTCAATGAGCTGGGACAAGATATACCCCTGCAGAAGCTGAACCTGGGAGCACCAACACCCTGCGGAGATCCTGCCAGACCCCACTCAAGTAACCACAGGTTACCTCAGGAGCTCCTTAAGGACCCCAACATGTTTAGTTGTAGATCATGTTTCCCAGTCACCTAGGGAAGGAGGGCGGACCTGCAGGCTCACTCTAAAGGGTGCAGGAATCACCAAAGAAGCACTCGAGGTGGCTACTCACCACATAGGAGTATCGCTCCCTGGACTTCCCTTCCCGGCTCACATTAACCGTTACCACATCCGAGAACGCCTCCTGAGCCTCTCCAGTCTGGCACACAATCCTGTGGATAGATGAGGGGTTGGCAGCAGTGCCTGGCAGCAGGAACGGGGACGGGCAGGCACAGGCAGGGGACACACAGGGGACAGGGCCCTCCTCCTCAGCTCCCCCAACTCACATCTCAGAGACGATGTATCTGTCGGGCAGCGGGGCGCAGTGCACGCTGCCCACCCAGACAGCAGTGAGGACGTCGCTGAAGCGGCGGCCCAGGTTCCTCCCACGGATGGTCAGCAGTGTGCCCCCCTCCAGCGGCCCACGCAGCGGCTCGATCTGCAGCACCAAGGGACAGGGCACAAAGTCAGAGGATCACAGAATCCTACAATGGTTTGGGTTGGAAGAGACCTCAAAGATCATCTAGCCCCATCCTTCCTGTCATGAGCAGGCACACCTTCCCCTAGACTAGGTTTGAGAAGAACAACCATGAGCTTCTGGCCTTCATCCCTGAGCCGGTCCCTATGTCCACACCCCACTTAAACCCCATGAAGCAGACAGAATCACTCCTCGCACTCCTGCTCCCCCAGCACGCCCGCCACCCCTCTCCCCCTGCTGTAGCTTGGCAAAGGAGAATCCATCACATTTACGTGCTGGGTTTGGCACTGGGGTTTGGCTAAGGATCAATCCAGCTGCAAACACATCTGGAGTGAAATATCCTTCCTTCCACACCCCTGCTTTTGAGTCCATCTCCTACACCACTGGTTTCATCTGGCAGCTGCTGTCCGCTGTGCTGTGAGGGGACAGGGTGCTGGCCGTGACAACATCCCAGCACTGCAAGGGGACAGGGTATGACACTGTGCCAACATTAAGGCGGGCACTGCCAGAGAGACCGACTGCCCTAACTTCAGCAGGTGAAACAAACCCCTTCCAGCAAAAATGGCTCCTTTCCCTTTGCCCTGGCAGCGGCACACAGAGCCAGTGCTACACTCCGGATGGCACCAGCTCCGGAGGGCTCTGTGAGGGCTCATTTGCTCTCATGGTTCCAGAGGGTTTGGATTTACCAGCCACTATTTGCTAAGGAAACAGTGACAGAGTCGGTGACACTCTGCAACCTGAACTGTGGTTTCCTTCCATTATTTTCTGGCGAGTGCTGGTAACACTTGAGGAGTGTGGGGAAGGACAGGCTCAGGGGGAGCACTGCTCTCCCACGGTGACAAGAGGGAAGCAGCAGCAATGGGGATCCTGCAGCCCCTCTGTGCAGTGTTACAGCACCTGGATCACCACATGCCTCCTCCCTAAGAGCAGAAATCCCATATACTTGCCAATTCTGATGTTCACATCCTTGCCAGTTCTGATGTTTTGCATCTCCAGCTTCTCTTTTTCTAGGGACCCCATTTTAAGATCTGGTCTATGTATTTTCTTTGCTACTTGTCAGGGATCAGTTTGTTGGCTCCTACCATACCTCTAAGCAGAGCCCCAGATCCAAAGGCCCCCAACAAACATTCATTTAACTAAAATTTAAGTAAAATCCACTTCAAAATGCATGATGCCCAAAGGTCCCTCTGCCATTGTTAAATCACAGCATAACTGCAGAACACATGTGCTTGAAGACAGGGATCACAATCACATTTCAGCCATGCTCCATTAAATGCTTTCCTGATAAGGATCCTTCAACCAACCCTACATATCTTTCTTGCTTTTAACAACCCTAGGAACTCTGAGGCATTTGAATTGTGATGCTGTTATGTTTCCCACTAACACAATGAAGATTGAATCCTGTCAGTAGCAAGATGTCCTCGGCACTAGGTGACTCAACAGCATAGAAAGTCAGTGAATAATTCATTGCTGGTCTTGACCCTGTCCCGTGCAAGGGACAATTCTTGGATCCTCCTCTGTCCCACCTGGGACAGGGTGGCTGGCCCCACCCCATAGCACCACCCCCCATGCCACACCACGCCACGCCACGCCACACCACGCCACGTCATGCCACGTCACGCCACGCCATGCCACGCCATGCCATGCCACGCCACGCCACACCACACCACACCACGCCATGCCACACACCACACCACACCACGCCACGCCACGCCATGCCACACACCACACCACACCACACCACACCGTGCCATATTGCCTTTGGGTCTTACCTTCCTAATCTCAGGAGCAGGGCAGACATCAGAGACCTGGGGGGGCTCGGTGTGCAGCCTGCAGCTGGAGCTGCTCTCGCTCCAGAGGCAGCGGTGCCCCAGGTCCTCCCTCCCCAGGCACTGGGAGCAGTCAGCACTGCCGGTTGCACAGTTGTACACCTCCACTGAACCACCAGAGACAACAGAAAACATGAGCTCCATTTCACAGCTTTACTTAGCCTGAGGCAGTCAAACACTCAAACCCCTGCCACCTCCACCCCCCCGTTACATTAATCCCACTAACATCTGAAATCCAGCGGAGGAGCAGAGCGCTTGGCTGCCATCCTGCAGATTTCCCAGAAGGCCTGGGTGCTTGTTCTCACTGCAATATAATTTAGCGCTTTCTTTTCCTTTTCATTCCCCTTGAAAAATAAACACACCCAAACTTGAATCTTTTTGTCAATTTATGCTACACATTTCCAACTCTCAGCATCCACATGGGAAGCTCCTTGGCAAAGCTGGCTCCTTCCTGCCAGCAAAGCAATCACATTGCTTCCACACCGACAAAAATTGAGTGATTTGTACTTTGTGCAGTGTTTACAGTTCCCTTCCCTCCCCCTGTGACCATGGGCCCCTTTCATTGACTTCTCCCTTCAGATCTGCTCAGCTCAACTTCCACATCTTTTTCCTACACCGCCTTCACCTCTCCATTAGCTGGTGCCCTGGGTTACATTTCCTCTCTAGCCTAAAGACTTCTGCCACTGGAGTGTGGGTATCCGCTGAGATAACAGCCAGAAACGCTCAGGAAGCATGCCTTTCACACCCTTTTCCCCAGAGGAGACTTTGCAGGAGAACATAAAACACAGAAACAGTCACATTTGGCACTTCTGCTCACGGGAGCATCTCAAGGCACTTCACAAGCACCTAATGAGTCCCTCAGCGCCAACACTGCCGTGCCGTGCTAACAAAACTGCACCAGCACCAACATCCTGCCTGTGCCACGCCAAAGTAACAACACCAGTGCTGAGGGGCTCTCCTATTCTCCACAAAGAAAAAGTTTAGTCCACCTTGCCTGCAGTCCCCCCCAAGGAGTTACACTGGGTGGTTTTCCACCCAACAGCAGAGCTTGTATTCCTTCAGTGGACTATCAAAACAATAAAAGCTAATAAATATTGAAATAATAAACACCAATATCTGTGATTTCACTAAAGGGGCTATAAAAGATGCCCACATTTATAACCGGCCTGGCAGATCTCTGTCCCTGATGCAAGGCAGCCTCTCTATCGTGACTCACACCAGCCTGAATAAGGCAAGGAGCCAGAGCAGCCTAAGGGTCCCACAGGAACTCCAAATATTCTGGTCAATTCAGATGGATGAAAACACGGCGTGTGTAAGTGAGCTCCTTCTTCGCGCAAGAGAAGGGGGAATTCCACTATGCTCTTTCCGCTGTGGTTCCTGCTCCCAGCACCACCCACACAGAGAACTGTCTCCTGCATATCCAAAATGCAGTCTCCTGCCCCAGTCCTCAGGATTACTACTGTATCTCAAAATTATGGACACTATCTTCTTTCTGCAGGGAAGCCACATGTCATGCCTGCCCATGTTAGTATTTCCAGGTATTTTCACTTTGCAAGACAATCCTCCTTCATACACAGGGATTTACCACAGGGAAACATTTTTATCCTGGTAAGTGTCTGTTGGTGTTTGTAACTCTCTCCCTGTTACAGCCATTCTCCAAAGGAAGCCTGCCTTCAGGCTCTCCTTCTCCTCTGCACCTCGGGTAAATCAGCCCCTTCTGCCATAACTGCTGACACTGTCAAGAGGGGAAGGAGCCTGCGAATACTGCCTCCAAGCAGAGCCCACGGCAAGGGGCACAGCCAAACCGCTGGCTACACAGTGAGCCTGGCTTCTTGACCGGTCCACTGGGTTTGTCCTGCCTGGGCACCTCATGTGAGTACGCTCTGAGTCTGACTGACTGACTGCCTTCCTCGGTTTGCTCGTGTAGCAAGGGCTTTTTTGGGAATCCAAGCATTCTTCCCAGAGAGCAGGCCATGAATGGAATGTATTTAGAGATTTTATTGTTTCTCAACACAGAAGGCAAAAAGAGGACTCAGTTTTCACAGTGTGTGGAACCTTGATGCCATACTTCTGCGAGAGCTAAGGGAAGAGCCCTGCCCCAGCTCTTTTCTCCTCTGGGAGGAATTCCTCCTCGGCCCTGGGGGTACCCCACATCCCTGCTGTGACCAAGAGCTGCCTGCACTCACAGACAGGGCTTGACCTTCCCTGGCTGTAACTGGGATGTCATGGGTGCCCATCTGGGCTCCGGGCTCACATTCACAGGGAGCAACTCTGGCTAAGTATGCTTTCTGCACGTGCCTGAGAGAAGGAACTGAGCTGTGCCCAGCAGAGCCATGGTCTCTACCCGTTACCCATAAACTCTGCCTGGGTTTGAGAGTCATTCAAGCTGACCAGATGAGAGAAGCATAAACATATTTTCAACCCAGACCTGTCATCATCTCTGGACTGTCAATAAATCTGTCTGGTCTGTCCTTCAGCTGGAGGTTCACTGGGAATTGATGGCTTTTTTCTGATGTGTGAAGCTGCACATAGAAAACAAACAAACACTTAGGAAATTTAGTAAAATAGAAGGTCTCATACCCCACACTACATGGATTAACCTTCCTTGTGAGGGTTCTCTGACCACTGCTTCCCCAGGCACGAGAGTGTCATCTTTAGCAGAAGGAGTGGGATGGCTGTTTTGTTTTAATCATTTTGCTGAAGTCCCAGCAAAGGGCACCAGGACATAGCACACGCCACAGTGAGAGCAGAGCCCTGGCTTGCTGCTATTTTTAGCAGAAACAGACAGGAAAATGAACAGCCTGGCCTGTCTGTGCATTCTCAGTGCTGGCTGCAATACAGGTGACATGATGGGAAAGTGTTCCTCTCCAGTTTCCACTTGCAATATTCCCACTGGTGGAAGCCCAAACAATTGCTGCATTTTGGAGGTGCAGTCTGCCCTCTGACAACCACACACAGTTCTCCAATGAGCAGCACAGCATTTTCTGAGGCCAATTCCTCATTCAAAATAAAAGCTACAGAAATAGCAACCCTGAAAGGTGGCCAAATTTTTTGCCTGAACTGAACTCTTCCCATTTAGAAAGGTAAACAAGCAGCTCCTTCCCAAGCCCTAGGGGAGCAGGGGTCAAAGCCACTGCGGATCCCCACAGAGCTGGGAACACAACACCCCTGATGCATGAGTGCCCTGCCAGCATTGGTGCACACAGAGAGCCTCTTGCTGGAGGAGGTGAACCCAGGAGGGGAGGGAAGAGGGTAAGCAGTGTCCCACTGATGAGTGGGAGGTTGGCAGTGAGACCCTCCCTGTTCTTGGACCTGATCCTCACCATGGGAGAAGCAGGGCTGGCAGCCTCACCCCCCGACTCACCAGCACATGCACACACTCCACAGCGGAGGAGTTCACCCACCGGGCTTCAAATGTCCTGTCTGTCCCAAAATGGCACTCCAGAGCTGTCTCCTGGGAGAGGAAAGACAAGGGCAGAACAGCTGCAGCAAATTTTTGCGCAGTTCTCCATCTGTCATCCGATAAGCAGGTATTGTGCCCCACCTTCGTTCTGCTGTCGGTACCTGAACTGTGTCCAAGTCAAACAGGAGATCAGAACCCAACACAAAACATGCGGACCAGGAGCTGTGCTTTGTGTCCTAAGCCACTTTGTGCAAACCAGCCCAAACCAGCCTGTGATTTGGGCTCAAAGTCACCTTCCTCCTCCCCCCAACAACTACATAGAGCAAATCTCTAATTCAGATGAGGACCCAGCCGGAAGCATGTTTCAAAGACAGATTTCTGTGCTGTTTTCCTGATAACACAAGGATGATATCCTGCCCCAAGTTACTGCTGTGCCCCCATCCTGCAGGAAAAAATCCTCTCTCCAAGAAGGTTGATGCTCCACCAGTACTGAGGTCTAACTACTCTTTGAAAACTAGCACATCTGATAAAAGACATGAAAGGAAGCACCAGACTCCAGACAGAGAGCTGCTGGCTCAGCAAACACAGAGGCAGAATCTCGCCCAGTGCATCGCCTGCACCCAGGCAGTTCTGGCTCTGCAGGCTGCCCATACCCATGGCCTTGCCCCTGACAGGGAGTGCCTACGTTGCAGAAAAGCCACGTCTCCAAAGCTCCCAGTTCCAGAAGCATTCATGAGCTCCTGTGGAGAGGGAAGGAAAAGGAATCCCAGCTGGCATTCCAGGATAGGGAGCAGAAGGAAGCCAGAGTGCCAGAGCCCCTCCAGCTGCCCCAGAGCAGAGGTGGTGTGGCCCCTTTCCTGCTGACTCCATTTCCTATGGGTTCCGTGCGGTATTGCTTCCTCCTCAGCCACCTCCAGCATCCAGAGAGGAAGAAGGATTTCTAGTTCTATTTTGCTGATTGTGGATGGCACATCCTCGTTCCCAGAGGCCAGAGTTGTGAAGGAAAAGACCACCCAATCTTGGTGGGAGGGTCCACTCTGCCCCTGCACCAAGGGCAGAAAGTGTGGTGGGAGCAGTGCCTCCACAGCCCCTGGCAGCAGCCCTCAGTACCCTGGCACCCCAGAACAGCTCCACCAGTACTTCCAAAACTCTTCTCCCCTGCAGAACAAGAAGCTGCCCGGCTGCCCAGTGTGCTGGAATCATCCACAGAGGCACAGCAAACCCAGCCCCATGGGCCCTGCTGAACTGACCCAAAATGACTCAGGGTAGCTTTCTACAAATACCAGTGCTTACTCAAGCATTTTCCCACTAACCAGCCTCTCTGTCCCAAATTCCTCTGGTTCCTTCTGGTGTGCAGCGTGCCTCCACTCCCGCTTTTCACTGTTACATCTTGCATGTCAGAAAATTTCAGAGAAAGCACTTTTTCACACCAAACAAGCTCTGCACTGACGACCTGAAGTTACGTTAAACCATGTTTCCATGCTGTACTCAACCCCGTGGCTCCACCAGCACAGCCTCCCTGCGCCCAGTTCGGGGCTGTGTCCTTCATTCCTCAGTGTGGGCACTGGGGCAGGGCTGGCACGTGGTGCCAGGAGAGCGCAACACCGGCACACTTGGCAGTGGAGTAAACACCCACAAGGGAACTGGGAGTTTTATTTCTCCCAAACACCCGAACCTTCCCAATCCCTCCAGGAACTCCTTTACCTTAGAGAAAGTTGCATTGGCCAGTGAGATCGTGATGTCCCGAGATACTCCTGTGGGTATTGGCTCCAAAGGGGCAGGTACAATTCGAGGACAGTCAATTTTCTTCTGTTAGGTACAAAAACAAGGAAAAAAGAGGTTAGTTGGGTGCGTGCCGAGCATCCTCAGTGACAAGAGAAAAGGACACATCAGGGCCCTTGGTAAGACTCATTTCACTGGGAACCAGGTACTACCAGGTGCACAGCAACTTCGTATCCACGCCTCAGCTGCTGCTCCGGCAGTGACAGCTGGAGTGACACTGAAGGGAGCCACTGCCACCTCCAATGGCAGATCCACCAGTGTGACCCTCTCCCGCCTGCTGGAAGCCACGTCCCATCCACTGCATCGCGCACTCCTGCCAGCCCCCTTGCAGAGCCTGTGTTCCAGGGTCCCCATCCTGCTTGGCAGCACCACAGGGCACAAGGGTCTCACGTGTGTGTAGAGGGGTACACTGAGCCACAGTGGATCCAGTGAGGGGCCTGCACTAGTAGGGTAGCTGCAATGAAAGGCTTAAATGAAGCTGAAAAATGATTTTAAGAGGACGTCTGTCCCCCTACTTTTGTTCTCATTTTAAATTGATGTCTCAGACACTGGGGCTGACTCAGAATTCCAGCCCGTTTGACAAGCCTGTCCTGTTCTCTCATGAGATGTAAATCACACTGCAAAGCTACAGTAAGAATGAAGTCAGCTTCTCTGTGGCCCCAGGGTACATCCAGAGTAATGACTGTGACAGTGGAGCCATTGGGGTAAAAGACAACAAAATACTTGCTCCATTATGCAGAATCATTTGCAGCAGGCAAGATTTCCTCTCGTTTGTATTAAAAGTTACCCCACTGCAGCTCCACTGATGCCAGTGCTGCTGCTTCTGCTCCAAGGAGAGGTCAAGCCTGCCCTCCCAGCACCAGAATGCCTGTCCAGACACACCCCTGGGGCCGGACACATCATAGAATCAAAGAATTAACTGGGTTGGAAGAGACCTCTGATCCCATCCCTGGGACCAGACACACAGCAAGTAGGAGGTTTCTCTCCTGCCCTCCCTAGACCTACCTAGGGGTCAGGGAACTACCTGGAAGTGCCTGTTTGCCTGTGGACAACATGCTTTGCTTCTGTCAGGACACTCATCTTACCAAGCACAGTTGGTGCCACCTAAACAAGGAGATTAAATAACAGAGATGCATGTGATAAGGGAAGCAAAACAAAGCACGGGGGAGAAATTTCAGTCCCAAGCTTCTTCCAGGGGAATCAAAAGCATTAAAATAAAACCAGCAGGGCTACAAGAAAATTCATGCAAAACCTCCCATGGTCTGGTGTGTCCTTGCACGTCACTGGAGCTGGCACAGCTTCCCAGAGAAATACACTTTAGAGGACTGAAGAACTTGTTGTCTTGCAGCTCCTTCTCCTGCTGTTCACCAGCAACCAGAAATAAAGCTTCCAGCTAACGATACCCTTTGTGTCTGGATCAGGGCAAAGAGGCTGAATGTTTAAGATGCTGTGGATGGAACTGGTCTGACGCTGCTTTCCCAGCAGAGTTGTGCTCAGGTGCAGTCATGCCAGCAACGGTTTGTTTACTTAAAGCTCCGACTACACCGTGTTTCCCAGGCTACAGAGCACCTCATCCTGCAGCTGCTCACAGAGATCAGCAGAGAGAAAACAGAAACATGCCCAACCAGGTGAGCATCCAGCCCAACTGTACCTCTGCAGTAGGAGATCCGAGACGATAAAGTCAGTCCTCTGCTGACCTTGGACTAACCCAGGGCAGTCCCCAGCCAGCCCACAGCCCTAATACCACTGCTGGAACTGACACCCCCGACCCCCTGCCCCGAGCAGCAGTGCCAGTGCCTGGCAGCACAATCAGCATGAGAACTCACAGGCCTAGTAGCCTGGCATGTGCCAGACCTGCGGCATAGTTCCCTGTGCCCTAGCACAGGACAGACACCCCACAGGAGCAACTGTCACAATGGTTTTCAAGTGCCCAGCACCTGTCCAGACAGCCAGAGAAAACACCAGACACTGAAACCTGGGAAGTGGACAAAGCAGAACATGCTTCCCTAAAACACCTGGGTATGCACAGGGAGGCACAGCTGATGCTGCCATGCCATCCTGCATTGCTGGGAGCTGCCACTCAGCACAGACTTTTCCATTCCCATTTCCCAGAGATTTACACTAGACATGATCACATGGAGCTGCAGTGTGGTGACTCCAGCTCCATCCCCACTCCCATTACCTGTGCTCACAGCTACCCACCTCCCCTACCACTGCAGAGGAGTGGATGCCACACCTGGCCCAAGGGTCAGCCCAGGGCTAAAGGTGGGACATCTGACACAGGGCCAAACTCCTCCCAGTGACAAGCATAGGGAGCACTGGAAGAGCGGAGCCAAGAACAGAGCACCAGTGCTAAAGCGATATTCAATTTACAGTGTAAAAGCTTGGCTTGGATCTACAGCAGATTGATTGCTAAAAAGCCAATTTTATTTAAATTAACTTCAATTTAAATTTCAGAAGCAGAAACACACTGAGCCTCAGTTATTAAAGCTACAGTTTGGAAAGGGGAGATTTTCTCCTACAGACAAGCATCACCAGTGGTGCTCCAGCATGTTATTAACATAGAGCAACCACAAGTCAGAGCCTAGGGAATGGTGGAGTAGGGCTGCGTTTCTCATACTGAAACCCAGGCAGCCCACAATGTGAAGAAGCAGCAGCATTGCTCCAGATATGAGAGGTGATGGAGAGCCAAGGGACAGAGCCCACTGAGGCACCAGGACAGCTGAATGCTTTAGCCAGTGTGCTGGCTTCCTCCCACACACACCTCGGCACAGCACAGCACAGCACGGCGCAGCTGCAGCTCTACCTGCCTGCACACATCACTCTCCTGGACACCAGGTGAGGAGGGTGCCCCAACTCCAGCTGGGCACGAGCTGTGGTCAGCAAGTGGTAGCCGCTGATGGAGGAGGCTCAGAGCCTGAGCAGCAGTTTCATGGGCCTCACCTTCATCTGCAGCGCGCTGACACACTGTGAGTGGTTGGAGACGCAGGTGTAGGTGGAGGGGCACCAATGACACTTCCACCTGGCTGAGAGGCAGCTGGTACACCTGGAATGGCAAAGGCATGGTGAGAAAAGCAGAGTTTAAGCTGCTCAGAGAAGCCACACCTAGGCCCTGCAATGCATCTTCACACAGTTCAGTCTACAATGGTGCCCCAAAAAACCCATAACAGGTCCTTAATTTCCCTGTCCTCCTCTCCCTGGGAGCCAGCAGGGGATGTAGGCAGAGCCCATCACCCCCAGACATCATCTCCCTGCTCCAGGCCACAGCAGCCCAGGAGCCACTCTCCCCTGCTGAGCGTAAAATGCTTTTCTGCCAAAAACCCTCCTTCCCTCCATCCGTCTCTCCAGGGAGCCAGGCAGGTCAAGGCCTGATGAAGGCTTTCCTGTTTGCACAGGCATGGAAGTGCCAGCAGGCAGGACACAGGGTCCCTGCAGTCTGGCCCTGCTGTTACACTCCTGAGAGGAGGATGAATTTTGGTAGGTGGCACCAGAGTCCCCCTCCAGCCCATCCTGCTGATGGAGGTATGTGGCTGCTCCCACCCAGGGCTGGAAGGGGCAAAGGAGAATGTCCTTCCCTTCCCCAGTGCCTCACAGATGCTCCCAAGGATCGCTGGGGAGGCTGGTTCTGATGATGAAGGGTTAACAGAACAAGCTTTATATAAAAATATTATTCATATTTAAAAGAAGCCCAACATGTCCAGATGGCTTGAGATGGTCTGAGGACACTCCTCTGAAAATCCCTGGTATTGCATCCCCCAAAATTCTGCCAAATCCTGCCCAGGCCCCCAGCCACCCACCAGCAGGGGCTGTGCTCTCCCATTAACCCCACACAGGGAGACCCTCGTCCAGCTGTGTGCTGGCACCCACCCCTCTTCAAACCACCCCAGCTGCCTCCGGTACCACCTCCGGTACCACCTCCGGTACCACCCAAGTGCTGCCACCACCTGCCTGTGGGGCCCCGCTGCCTGCACACCGGGGTCACTTACGCTCTCTTTGGGTAAATGTTTCCAGTCCTTTTGCAATCATAGATGGTGAAATTGGCCTGGATAATGTTTTTGCTGTTGACCCGGAGAGCAGTTTCAACAACCACATGGTCTGAAAAAATCAAGCCAAAGAATATTGGGTTGCAAGAGCCCCTCACTCACGCTTCACAACAAAACAGTAGACAAGACAGACCCTTGGGAAAACAAGGGCTATATCTCCTTTGTTTTCCCTAGGGCTTCCTCCGAGCTGCATTTCAGAGCTTGGACCAGCCATTTTTTGTCCTCTGATTTTCAGCTCTTCCTTCCTAAATCAGTGCTTTACACCACCCTCACAGGAAAGAACATTGTGACTTTCAGCACAAAATTCCAGCTTGTTGTGCAAGTGTTAATTAGCAGAGTTAATAACTGTCTTCATGTACAGTTGGTGCTAAATTATATTTTAAAAAAATGTGGTAATTTAAACATGTTAGTTATCATGTTTTAAAACCCTGCTCACTTTCCCCATGACAACAAACACTCAGAGGAAAGTGGAAATCCCTTTTTTGGTTGCTCAAGATGCCATACTACCTTCCCTCCCCCCGAAATTGCTTAATTTTTTTTCTTTGCAATTTTGCCATATAAGCACCAGGGAGAAGAGACAATGCCTCTTTCAGAATATGGACAATAAATCAGCGCACTGGATTCCAGAAATTCATTTGGACATTGCTGTAACCAACAATACAGAGCAGTTAATGATCTCCCATTCTTTGGATAGCTGGGGAGAAAAACAACGCAGCTTTACAAATGGGCCTAGGAAAAGTGGGATTTTCAAAAGGACTGTCTAATTCTCTCTCTACTGAAGTCAGCCATCTTCAATAGCGCATTCAGTCCAGGCTCAAAGGACGAAAATTTAACAAGCACTCAAGTCCGGAATGAAGCACTGAACTTCTCTGAAGGCACTATGAGAGGGGCCGACTCATTGCTAAGTGGTTGGTCTCAGATCTGTCAGCTCAGCCTACTGCAACTTCATCCACATCCTTCATCCGCTTGCCGCTCCGCAGGCAGCCCCGTGGAGACTTGAGACAGGCATCCCTTTGGTACCACCAGAAACCAGGGGACACTGGAAACCTCCATCTGGCTTTTCATTTCAAAAAGGGGACTAAGAGTTCCTGACCTCTTTTAGGCACCCACTTGCTCTTTTTCCAGAGCTTCTCCTGAAAGGCAGTACGTGTTGCAGAGAGAAATTAAACAAAGCAATTGAAAATATCAATATAGGGAGCAACATTATTTGCCCAAGGCCAAAACATTTTTGGCTTAGTACTTACTAAATCTAAAGCAAAAACTCAAATCAGATAAAACTAAGTCCATTAACTGGCATTTAAATTCTGATGTTTAAAGCAAAAATGGATAGATTTGAAATACTGTCACTTTGTGTAAAGATGGTGGAACTCCTACACTTCAGTCATACGCCTTGTAAAAGAGAAGTAGCTTTGGGCTTTTCTTTCCTGTATGCAGTATCTGCATATACAAATGGAAAAAGAAATAAAGTCCATTAAAAATTATGTCCACAAAAGTGGTTAGAAGGAACCCAGTTTGCTTGCCTCTACATACCTTGGTCATCAGGAAATGCTGGATATTTCTCACGTGGAAGCAAACTGCAATAAATAAATTGGTTTACATAATCTCCAGCAACTCTGGCTACCGTGTGGATGTTGTTTCCATAGTCACATGAAATATTTGTTCCATTCAGGTTTGGGATAGTTCCATTTATTTGTATTATCAGGGCCTATATTAGACAAAAAAATCAGTTACTATGTCAGAAAACTACATTTAGAATTTTTCAACTTTTTAGATGCTTTTCAGAGGTAACGACTCCAAAACAAATGCACAGACAGGGTCTGTCTTTAAACAAAAAATATTTTGATGAAGACATTAAAAGTATAATTAAAATAGTTAAAAATAGCAACAACACAAAACCAGAAAACGAGTTGACTCAGCCATCTGCAGCTGATCATCTGTGTTTGAAATTCTGCTACCCTCCCTTGTGTGTTTGGTGCAACAGCTCTAGGTCCTGTTTGCCTACAGGCATCCAGCCAGCTCGAGGGTGCAGGAGGTCACCCCCAGCCCTCTGAGAGCCTTTGCCTGACACAGCAGCTCAGCAGAGCATCCTCCTGACCCCCACGTGAGCCTTGTGGAGCCATGCTCTCTGCTGCAAGAGATGGGAAGTTACCCGCCCTGAGAGCAGGGAACGGCTCTACGGACACTGCAGGTGATTGATTTATTATTGGCTTCAGACGCACCGGGTTCTCTTTGTCAATATTGATCTCAGGCTCCAGGATGGTCATGGAGGGGCACTGCTGCACTCCTTCACTCACACTCGCCCAGAAGTTGGCCCCTGTGGAGTTGGTGCACTCATGCTGCAAAGAACACCTGCAACAAACAGGGGAACAGCTGATGGTTGATGAGTTTTAAAATAGGTGATAAAAATGTTGAATTCCTTGTGAGGGAAGATCCTGAGAAAATCCTGTGTCTGTATCTGTTTTCTCCATCCATGCAGCTAAGCCTCAATGTTTGCTGCTATATTTAAAGTGTGTGCTTGCCACGATAAGAGCACGTGCTCCCACAGCACCAGCGCAGCACCAGGATTGAGGGAGGCAGAAGAAGGCCAGGCTTAACCCAGACTGAGGAAGAGGAGGTGACATTCTGTCCAACACCTTCAGTTTGCAAACGTGGAATCTAATTCTGAATATCCTTTTCTGAGTATGATTGCCTTTTACTCATAGATGAGAACTGCAGGGGCAAAAGCTGGTCTTTCACAGGGTGTGGGCTCTCCCAGTCCAACAGTTGGATGCTGGCAAGGGATTCTCTGCACAGGCAGCTGCCTGCAGTGTGACAATGCAGCTACAGTGAAGTCCTGGCTCTGAAGAGCATTCCAACCCTTGGGGCCAGATGCAATTGTTTTTAACAGCATGCATTTCATAAGGAATGGACAAAGACTTCTGGCAGCGTGACTGCGAGGAAATACAAAAGACACCAGAAGTTCTTGCCCGGACTTGAGAGCCAAAGGACATGCTGAAGCGCACCAGGACACGGCTGGTCCTACCTGGTCTCCATCGTGCACCACCCGCAGTAGGCGTCAGCGGCGGCCAGGCACTCCGTGCACGTCGAGTACTGGCTGCAGGCAGCCACCTTCACCCGCGTCATCTGCATGACAACAGCACCACTGCTTCCAAATGTTTTACAGCACCACAGGAACACCTGCCCAACTGGAACGTGGCTGTAGTATCAGTACAGCCACGTGTAGCTGGGGATGAGACACCAGTGCCTCGGGCTGTGACACCCCTCAGCCTGGAGCACATTCACCGAGCAGCAGTGGGAGCAGACCCTGGCACCACTTGGAGGTGGTTGCTGTGCCACAGCCACCCGGTGTGGGGACCAGCCCGGACAGCCACCTGCTGCCCACTGGAGGCCTCCAGAGCCTGTCCCAGGGCAGGGAGGACACCCAAGGGTTCGGGTGCCCCACAGCGTGTGCAGCCGGCTGGGCTGGGCCGAGCTGAGCTGAGTTGTGCTGAGTGGAGTTGATCTGGGCTGAGCTGGGCTGCCCCCTTCCAGTCAGCACCATGGCAGAAGCCATGTGATGGCCAGGCTACGGAGACTAGCACTGCACCTTTCAGAGGTGTCAAAGGAGGTGGTTTCACAGCTTGCTCCTCCCTGTGAAAAGACCTGCAGAAAGCTCCTTTCCAGGCAGAGCCCAGTGCTCTCTGACTATTTACACAACAATCAGAAAGCAGCACCACTCTAGAAACCTTGATTTGTAAAGAAATCAAAGTACCTCTGGGGGCTCGCTTGGCAGGAGCAGTTGGGGAGAAAGCATGTGTTGGTTTCTGCTTTCTCCTCCTTTGATCTCTGAACAATTGGAAAGGAAATCTGAGTGGTTTGGTACAGCAGAGACTGGAAATGTGAGGTGCCAAGAACTCTGAGGTCCCACCAGGCAAGCGCACCGTGGACCCTTGAGCTCCTTTGGCCAGACCCCTACATCACCTACAGCACCTTGCTGCTCCCTGGCCCTGTGGGGCTCAGCAACCCCACCCCAACCCTGTCAAGTCCTGTGAAGCTTCCCAGGATGCTAATTCCACCCAAAAAAAATTAACTCATCTGATTTATTGGAAAAGAAGCAGTCAGAGGAGGCACCACAAGAATCACACTGGGTGTTTGATCAGCCTGAGTAGGGAGCACAGCCCAGCTGAGGGCTGAGACAGTTGGAGGCATCCTGGGAGGGGTCTGTGAAATGATAATGACCATTCTGCACAGAATTAGGGCTTGGAAAACACAAATGCAACATGTAACATTTGTGGCTGTGCATCTGTTTTGACAGATTAAAATGTAATTCAGGACAAACCACCAGCGCCTATAGCACTCAGCTCTCATCTTCCTCCTCTGTTCACTTGACGGAGATGAGATCGTCTGTCTGTACCTGCTGCGGTTTCTCCAAGGTCTCTATGGAGCACTCCTGCTGAGTGCTGAGCAGAAACCACCCCAGGGACCACTTCTGACAGACAGACTTTTTGTCTGCAGGGTCTCCTGAAAACCTCCCTAAAGACCATGTACTCTCATCTTGGGGTTTCTGTACAGGAACAACATCTGCTTTTTTCTGCACTCCCATAAGTGCAATCACTTTCAGTATCTTTCACTCTCCTGCCTACCTGGTCACCAGAAACACTTGACAAGCCAGGCTGCATGGTCTGACCACCCCACACAGGAGAATGGACCGGCACAGGTATCTCCCCAGAAACCCCTTTGACATCCCAGCCAAAGCCCATTAATGTTAAAGCAAATCTTACTGTCCCTTCCCGCTCCCAGCTTGGTGCTAAATGAAATGCATGATGTGGTCAAAGGACTGTTTTGTTGAGGACTGAAAATCTCACCTGGTAGGAGGTCATCAGGTAAAGATAGGTGGGATCAGAAGGGTCAAACTGCATGATAGGGTGGACAGGCTCTCCGTAAGCCACTGAAATGGATCTCCTGCTAATAACCTTCATGGTAGTGTCCAGGTTAATCTGTAGTGAGAAGAAGCCACTAAGAAGACACTCACTGAGACCATTTTTCAAACACTGGGGAGATGATTATTTTTCCTTGGTATAAAGAAGAATCAAAGTGGTATCCAGCGTAGCCCCACATTGTCAAGCACTGTAAATCTCTGCACACTTTGCAGGCTGCACACACAGAGCTTTCCTGGAAAGTCAGTTCTGTGCCACTGAGCAGGCACACTGTGGCCCAGAAAGCCCCAGCCCTGCTCAGCGACACAGGAACTTCACCGCCTGGAGACCCCCTGTTTGAGCAGCTGTCTGGAAAGCTCCTGGACTGAGGTTCTACCCCTGCATGGCTGCATCCAGCACCCACAGCAGCACTCCTCAGCTGTGTCCAGCAGCCACAGCAGTGTTCCTTGAATTACCCTAATGCAAGTGGTACCAACCTTCAGCCCTCATCACATACACATGCACATTTCTGTACAGAGAACAGCGAGTTTTGAAAGCCTAATGAAAAACAGTGAAAATCAGCAACAGGGCTGTACAGCATGGCATCCCCTGCTCCCTGCATATTTGAAAAATAAGTGTTGTCACAGCCAGCCAAAAGAAGCTTCTATCCCTGCTGATTCCAAAAGACCACAGCAGCTGCCATGAGAGTACCAAGTCCTACCTGCCTTATGAATCGCCAGCTGAAGCGTTGGTAGTGATGGAGAAGGCTGCACAGCATCAGCCTGCCTTTCAGATCTCTGAATGTCTTGGCGGCATTTGACTTGAAAACTCAGTAAATTAAATGTGGCATTGCTGAGAGGAAATAACAATGGGGCTACACAATTTCTCGTGACAGTCACTTTTCAGCTTAAAACAGAAAGGGAGAGAGATGAAAATTCCTTCCTTCTTACTAGCAAGGGAAGGCAATAATCGTAAGGATCAAGTGTGCCTCTCCTCTCTAAAGTCTGGATTAATCAATTAACATAGGTTAATTAATTTGTACAGTAGAGCAGCACAGACATGCCCCAGTAAGATAGCATAGGCTCAAAGCACGGGCTTCTCTCTGCTAAGAACCATATGCAAGCATTGCAAGCTATGCAGAAAAAGCAGGGAACTGCCATTGTGCCCATTTTAAAAGCTGGCTAGCCAGAAGCTAAATGATTTCCCTGGGATCATCCAAGATGCCCACAAACCAAGCCCTGACACCCTCCACTGCAACTATCCTCTCTACCTTCCTGCTGAGATGTGCTCCATACGTGGCTGTTTCCAGACGCCTGCCCCTCTGTCCCTCTGCCTCCCGGGCACATTCACCCTGCACCCTCTCTATGCAGGCACTTTCCCTGGATCCTGGGGAGCTGCAGACCCTGCGGGAGAGCCCCCACAGCAGCACGGAGGGGCAGCAACCACCAGTCCTCCTGGTGCAGCAGGCTGGAGGACATGAGCTGCCCTGGTGCTGGTGGGAGCAGAGTGGGTGAAGTCCTGCGTAACCCCACCACAGGACTGTCTGTATCTGTCTGTGGCCTTCCAAACCTGAATATGTGTGGACTCACCAGGACAGACCCCTCTTACCTGCTGTTCCCCTCTATGGCTCTGCGCCCTGGCACGTCTCGCCCCGGCCACGCTGCCCAAGCACTGCTGTCCCTCTCATGACTGCTGGACGTGCAGCGGCCCTCACCAAATGCCTGTCTGCAGCCACAGAATCAGATTAATTTCCTATACGTGCCCCTGGCAGCCCTAATTGCTGCTGGCAGAAGCTGGGTGAACACTATTTCTGCCCCTCTGCTGTCTTTTCTCAGGCAGCAAATCTGAATGATAACTCACACAAAGTATCTTGTGTCCCGTGCCAAAGAGCAAGGAGCCCCGAAGGTAAAAGGGCTTCTGGTTATGCAGTTGTGTTGTAGAATTAGATTACAGCTATCTGAGCAAATTATCCCAGCAAAGGGTAGCCAGGAGCCTCTCCCTAATGGAGGCACCGCAGATAAGGCTGCTCTCTCCAAGATGATAACAGAGAAGAGCTGTTAATGCCGTGTGAACAGGCTGCACTGCGTGTGGCATGTGCCCTCCAGCCCACTGCGCCCAGCTTGGTGCCAGGTCCCTCCCACCTGCCCAAATTACCTGCCCCTTTGGGCAAAAATCAAAGCAGGGAGTTCCTCTGTGATTGTTCCAGCACTTCTGCCAGGAGCATTTGGATGCAAGGAAAGAGACTGGATCAGTTTGCCTCTCTCCAAGCATTTTGATCCAATATCCCACATTACGCACCACTCACTTCAGGTTGAGACAAAACAGGTATCAGCTGTCGCTGCTCCAGGGCTTTTCTCCTTCTCCTCTACGGACTTTTAATTCTGGGAATACACTAAATTGCTGTGACTGCCTGGAATCAAACTTTCTTTGGCACTAAAGTTACTGAGAGCTTGGCCTTGCACCTTGGCTCTGGAACTGGGGCATTGCATCGCCCTGCATCACCTCCAGCACATAATTCAGAACAGACTCCACCATGGGTTCACACCTGCTTCGGACTCAGCTGTGAGGAAGCATCTCTTGGTGATTCCCCTATCTACACAGGGTCTTCAAAAGCCAGCAGCTCGGAAAGAGAATTTATTAGAAGAGCTGTTAATAATTAAACGCTGCACAATAGCACTCCCAGCACAGGGTTCAACAAGAACATCCTGCTCACATGGCACCCCTGAGCAGTAATTAACAGCCACCAGTCACCAGGCAGTGTGTATCACCACCCAGGTTGCAGCAGTACCCAATGACTTCATCATTGCCTGATGGAAGCAGGTGCTCAGACCAAGTTGACAACAGATGTCGTCCTCTGGACGGACGAATGGTGCTGGAAGGGGAGGCCCCGACACCCTGCCCTGTCCCCCAGCCCTGTGCCCTGTACCGGTGCTGCCAGGCCCTACTTGCCTTCAGGAGTCCTCCACTGGCGGTGCCCAGGAACACAACAGTGTAGTTGTTGACGCTGGCCACTGCCACTGCGGTCAGGCCACTGTAAGTGAAGATGGGGGTGGCTGTGATGGGGTTCACGATGGCCAGTGGGTGCTGGAGGTGCGCTGCTCCACAGTCCAGCTGCTCCGGCTGCAGCTGTGGAGAGACACAACTGTCACTGGGCTGCACAAACGTCAGTGGGTTCCCCCATCCTCCCCCCTCGGGCACAGCAGGGTCAGACTGCCGAGAGCCCCGCTCTGCCCTGCTAAAGCCCCTCACTGCTGAGTCACAGAAAAGTAAAAAGTGGCCCTGGCAGATGAGCTGCTTGCAAGGGCTGGCACGTGGGGCATGAGGCCAGTGTAGGTACTCCCATGTCGACTCACTGTCAGGTGCCAAGGGGTAAAGGTAGAGGACGGTGGTTAAGGACTTGCCAGTAAGCCATGTCTGTGAGCAGGCATTTGGCTTGTTTGGCACAAAGCAAGACAACAGACTTGACTCTTCTATGCTAACTTAATTAGCGAAATTTCTGCATGGCAGTAGCATTTGGAAGTGGGACTAAATGCTTTATATTCCTTCTACCCTGCCGAGACACACTCAAGATTCATGACCCCTCTCACCTCAACTCCTCTGAGATTCTCATGCCATTTCTGCTCAGACAACTTGGATAGATTCAACAGCTGAACACTGCACAGTCTCACTGCCAACAATTCACCTGCAGCAGGTGCAGTTGGAGCTGTTCAAATGACAGGCACGTTTCAAGGGCCATTACCACATCACCAATGGTGTCATCCCAGGTTTAGCCCAAGAAAGGCCATGCCTGCACTGTAATCCTCCCTGCGGCAAGCAGTAGTGGCAGGGTTGGCATTCTGGCAGTAGTGGTTATCCACAGGCCACCTGTGCCCAACCCAGGCCCTAACCATGGGTTACACCGGTACAAAATTCCAGCAAGAGACACCTGGCAGGGTGCAACTTACACCCCGAGGGTGAAGCATGTTTATGCCTTTCTGAACCCAGCCATAACACTCATAGCCTGGTCACAGAAACTGTCAGGAGCGTGAATTTAAGTAGAACAAATGCAGGTATTTGAGGCTGTATCTGTCAGGGAACTGGACCATACTACACCAGGCAGAAGGTGACCACCAGCCTGTCCAGAACAGTCCCTCCCCCCTGGGCTGCACCACAGCCTTGATGCTATTCCCTCGTTTATCATTACTATTTCATCAATGGAACCAGGCTAAACCTTCAGCTCTCTCCTCTTTGCAGATGGTTCAAAAGATTAAGCAAATCTTTAGGTTTTGCAGCAAGAGCATGAGACCAGGCAGGACCTCCCCTCCTCTGCCTGGATCCCACTTTGGGGTGCACCTCCTCCCTCATGCCTGTCTGCCCCCCAGCCACCACCATGTATCTTGGGCTGGTGCAACACGTTCCTGGGTAGAAGTGGGAAAGAAACATGCTAAAACCCAAAATGTACACAAAGCAATGGTGCTGTGCCCACAGGAGCGAGAGATGGTGTGTCCCCACACTGGTGGAAGGGAAGAAGCCTCCACCAGAACCCCACGGGGCTGGTGACCTCTCTGCCATGGCCACAGCCCACCCAGGGGTCAGTTGGCACGGGGACCACAGGCCATGGCACTGCCCCCTTCTCCTCTTTGCATGGGAGAGGACAGGAGCAAACCCCAGTGGGAGTGGTGGGTGCCGGTCAGCCCTTGGTATGTTGTAGCAGCCAGTCAGCAAACAGCACAGGCTACCTGTGCACCCAGAGCTGTCACACCCCACAGCATCCTCTGCACAACAGCATGTGCCTCTGATTGCAGACACCGTGCTGCTGCAGACACATCCAGGGCTCACGTCCCTGCTGCTGCATCAGCACAGCCATGCTGCAGCCAGTGACAGGCTGGGTCCTCTTCAAAAAACCACCCTGACCTTGGGTCCCTGTGCCCCAGCAGACACTGGACCCTATGGCCACCACTGGCTGCATCTGACATGGAGTAACAAAGTGAAAAACTTCCCCTGCTCAGACGACTGCCAAGCAGGAGGCAGCATATTCACAGCTGCACTCCATTCATAGAGGGCCAAGACAAAAGGAACAAGTTTATGGATGCAGTGCTAAATGCATTTTGCAGTTTTATCACATCTCATTCTATTAAAAAATAAAATCACAGCCCAAATTCTTAAGAGTGTATATTTGCCCCATCACTGGATGACACTTTTTTTATACCATATAGACAACACGGCAAGCCATTCATATTTCTGATTTAATGGTTCCTTCCCTTTGCAACCAGACCTTTAGAAATGCACTTGGGTTTATTTATTTGTCTTGGGGATCATTAACTCTAGCCCCTCTTCACTGGCCTTTACCAATATTCACCACCTGAAACTCACAAAGCTCCTTCCTACTGGGAAACTGAGGCACAGAGGCACCTCCGGCCAGCTGGGACCCCAAGGGATACTCAGCACCAACTCTTCCCAGAGAAGCACAGGAGGCAGAACCGGTATTGCTGACTGCCAGTCTGCTGGACACAGCCCTTTCTTCTCACAGGTGGCCAAAATCACGGGAAGTCCCTTATCTGCAGCGCCTGCCTGCTTATAAATCATGTATTTCAGAGCTCATATCAGCGCAAAGTGTTCTCCACAGTAAACAGGATGTAACTATTATAACCCAGGCCAAGCTTTATTTTGGTTGCACATATCCTTCCTCTGAAACACCTTTCTTCAGATGACATCAGTTCTTCCAACGGATGGATGGGCAGGAGGAGACATATGGTATTTCCCTCTGCCGTGTCCCAGGGAGGGATGACATGCTGTGCTGCTGCTGCCTGTACCCCACAGCACCAAGAGGACAGCTTAACTCCCTCACGTTACAGTAAACAGGATACGGCCAAGTCACATCCTTCTGCAGGCACCAGGCAGTCACCACAGCTGGGGAATTGCACTGGATGTTTGGGATAGAACACTTTCTCCATGTGGAATGGCTTAAATCTTGCTCCATCTTAAATCAAACTGCCCTTCCCTGATGTGGGGAAAGCACAAACAGTAAGTTTTCTTCCAAAACCAATCTCTTCCTATAATCTGCATTTTAAAACACCTCGTGGGCATTTACTTACTGCCTCTATTTTTTTGTGACATGCTCTGGGTACTCAGCATCTTACAGAAATATGGACTGAGTCTAGATCCAAAACCTTCTGCACCCAAAACGTTTACTCTGCCATTCTGATGCTGATGATGAGCCTTCTCAGGCACAAGTCAGGGACAGCCACAGCCAACCCTGGCTGAGCAGCACCACTGTCACCCCGCACACTGTGAGGAGGAGTACACCCTGTTGTGCCCCTACATGCTGTGACAAGGAAAGGGCACACACTGCTGTGCCCCCATACACTGTAAGGAGGGAGGGGCACACACTGCTGTCACCCCGCACACTGAGATACGTGGTATTGCTGCAAAACTTCGTAAGTGATGCAAATTAATTCAAACCGAGGGGCCACAGCTAAGAGGATGGTTAGTCAGATTAACCCATGAGTGCAATTGCAAAAACAAAGTAGGACAGAGATAAAAGATCTCCAGCCACATCAGAGCTCAAGAGTTAGTTGTCATCATGGTGTGAATTCATTTCTTTATCCCAGGCCTAAAAGAAGCAGAAAAAGCGATTTCCCAGAATTTCCATTACAGCTCCCCAGCCCCGGGCACGCAGGATGTCCCTTCGGGAAGGAAGTCTGCTGGAAACAGAAGGAGGAAGAGGAGTGGTGAGGCAGCACTCAGGAAAAACATGAAATGCGCTGATTTCTGCATCCTGTGTTTGTAACCTTAAAAATAGTTCTCAAGCAAAGCTGGAGCTAATTTGTGACTCAGAAGTTGCAGTGCAAGGAAAGCCCTGAGCCCTCGCCCTCCACGAGGCCGTGCTAGCTGTGCTGCAGTGGCTCCAGAGCTCTGCAGCGAGGGGAAGGGGAGCCCAGCCCCTTTCAGATGTCGTATCAGAGGGGATTAAAGTGTTGGCTTCCAGCATGCCTGGAGTCCTGGGAAAATGACACAGCCGGCATCCGATAATCCGCTCCAAACTTGTTGATTTGTGGGACTTACCCATCATCTTCACAGGCTCAAAATTTGGCAGCTGCTCCCACACAACTGACATTTTCAGGACATTAAAGGCTGTGATAAAAGGGCTCTAGTTTTATCTCTTGCCTTCCTTAACATAAACCATTAGGCTTTTATTAACGTTTAGGTATGACTCAGGGAAATCTTTGACTGCAAAGAGAATATTCAGAATAATTCGGATACTGTCTGAAGAGAATAGCAGGACATGGACTCACCCTGAACAGTAGGGAGAGGCTAAAAACCTGTGGGGAAATATTGCACAGGAGAACAGACAAAGCCAGAGATACCAAGCCAGCCCAGCTGCATTACGCAAACAGAGAGTACAAGCCCTGCTGTGTGTCGGACAGAGCCCAGACCAGCTGTGTACCCCCAGCAAAGCCCATTTACCCCCCCAGAACCTTCCCGTCCCCCAGCAGTTTGTACACACAATCACGCGTTTATCTGCTGCAGTGTCGCAGCCAGACCTGTCAAAAACAAGCTTCTTGGGATGCCTGGAGCAGCATTTCATCCTCAGAAGAGGACTCCACTGTTGAGGCACTTGAGATGCAAGCAGTCTCCACTGCAGTGCTGCTGCAAGGGCAGGCATCAGCACAGAGCTCCTCAGACTTCCCACCATATTTCTTAGGCAACAGGAGGCAAATCAGTGTGCACTTGCAGCACACTAGAGTGCACAGTAGAGGCACTTAGGCTGAGAACCTCCGACAAAGTGAATCTAGACAAATTTTTCCCCAGAATTACCAACACTAAGCAGTCAGGACCCCACAGCACATCAGATGTTCTTTAAAAAAAAAAAAAAAAAAAGGTTTAATATGACACTTGCACTCTGGTTTCAGTTTGCTTAGACCACAAGTTCCTCAAGCAAGAAAGCGGTGGTTGTGCTGTGTTTTGCTCGTTTGCACAGTGCCAGCACTGGCCCAGGGTGTTCTGCAAGCCACCTGTGCGATACCAGTAACGGGGCTGTCCCAACACCCCTCCATGCGCTCCCAGCAGTCACCCAGACCACATCCTTGCAGGGAGCCATTGCTCTTATAAAACTCATTCTTCCCTCTCTCTACTCTTGACTCCAA